TACTGATTTTCTAACCAGAGGACTCCCTTTAGTATTTCTTGTAATTTTGGTTTGGTTTTTGCAAATTCCCTAAACTTCTGTTTATGTGGAAATGTCCTAATTTTGTCATCATATTTGAGAATTTTGCTGGATATGTAATTCTTGGCTGGCAGGTTTTCTCCTTCAGGGCTTTATATATGTCATCCCATTGCCGTCTTGCCTGCATGGTTTCTGCTGAGTAGTCCGAGCTTATACTTACTGACTCCCCTTTGTAATGACTTTTCGTTTATCCCTAGCCACTCTTAAAATTCTCTCTTTATCTTTGGTTTTGGCAAGGTTGATTATGTTTTGGTGACTTTCTTTTGGGATCTACCTTATATGGGGTTCAATGAGCATCCTAGATAGATATCTTGTCATCTTTTCACGATATCAGAGAAGTTTTCTGCGAACAAATCTTCAACAAGTCTCTCTATATTTTCTGTTATCCCTCCTGTTCTGGTACTCCAGTCACTTGTAGGTTATTCCTCTTGATAGAGTCCCACATAATTCTTAGGGTTTCTTCATTTTTTTTTAGTCCTTTTTTCCGACTTTTCCTCAAATAAGTTGGTGTCAAGTGCTTTATCTTCAGTCTCACTAATTCTGACTTCCATTGCCTCAATTCTGTTCCTATGACTGTGTATTGAGTTGTCTAATTCTGAGATTTGATTGTTAATCTTCTGGATTTATGATTGCTGCCTTTCTGTGGATTCTTGCAGCCTGTTAAATTTGTCATTATACTCTTCTCTGATCTTTTTAATTTCCTCTATTGCGTGTTCTGCGTTTGGCTTAATTTCCTTCCTAATTTCTTGAAGAGTTCTGTACACTAATCTTTTGTATTCTGCCTCCGGTAATTCCAAGAAAATTTCCTCCTCTGGAAAATTTCTGGATTCTTTATTTTGGGAGCTTGCTGAAGCCATCATGGATTGCCTCTTTATGTGATTTGATATTGACTGTTGTCTCTGAGCCATCGAGTTGATCAGGCCTGAAGGGCTCAGGCTCTTGCTGAGTCAGGTCTGGCAACTCCTCACTGCTTCTGAACCATCTCTCCCCGACCCTGCCGCTCAGTCTGGTTCCTCACCTCTGGCTTTGATGTTCAGTGCTCTCAGATTTCCATATATAATCAAATCACTTGTTTTTTCGGGTCTGTGGAAGAGGGTCCTCCTGAAGCGTCTGACTACTTCACCATCTTGGCCCCTCCTCTCCTCCCCCGTTCCTTTTAGAAGGAGCCCTGGGGGTGCTGTGGTTAAGCATTTGACCAAAAGGTTGGCAGTTCAAATCCACCAGCCACTCCTTGGAAGCCCTGTAGGGCAGTTCTACTCTGTCCTATAGGGTCACTATAGGTCAGAATCGACTCAATGTCAATGGGTTTTTTAGAAGGAAAGTCAAAAGTGAAGTCCTTAAAAAGATTCTATGTCATCAGTACCCCTGTTATGCCTAGTGGAGAGGATTTTTAAAGATCTTTTTTCCTTCATCAAGGAGTAGTTTAGAAGTGCCACAATCCCTAATTCTAATGCGGGTGCTTATGTGCAAATTAAGAAAGGCAAACTGCACATAAGATTGGTGCCTGTCGTTTCTTGGTCTTCTGCAGCTCCTCTCCCTGGTAGCCGTGCTCACGGTGGAGGGCTTCTCTTCTCAGTTGCTGTACCCTGTGCTGTGCCTACACTGTTGCTTCAGGTTATGCTGGTCCTTGCTTGTTCTCATTTGAAAACAAGTGGTCATGCTCCAGCAGGCCAGGAAAGGGGATTGGGGGACTCCAGAGCCAAGGTTGTAAACTAGCCTCTCTAAGGCTGGATTGGGCTCAAGGTTTATTAGTGTATTAGTGATAGCAAAAGCATACATTTATACTGTTATGCATTTAGTTTAATTCTAAATGCTTATATGAGAGTCATGGGGGTACTGGGGGCTCATTAGTAGAATTCTCATCTTCTGTGCGGGAGACACAGGTTCAATTCCCAGCCATTGCCCCTCATGCATAGTAGCCACCACCCATCTGTCAGTGGAGGCTTACATGTTGCTATGATGCTGAACAGGTTTCAGCAGAGCTTCCAGACTAAGATGGACTAGGAAGAAAGGCCTGACGAGCTACTTCCAAAAATCAGCCAGTGGAAACCCTCTGGATCGCAGCAGTCTAATCCGGAACTGATGATGGGGATGGCGCAGGACCGGGCAGCATTTTATTCCGTTGTGCATGGGGTTACCATGAGTTCGGGCTGACTTAATAGCAGCTAATAACAACAGCACTTTGAGGGTCAGGGTACCCGAGAGGTTACGAACAGGGCTCTGGAGCCACATTTTCTGGGTTCAAGTCCCAGCTCCACCACTTAAAAACCTCAGGCAAGGGATTTAACCTCTCTGGGTCTTGTTTCTTCATCTGTAAAACTCAGTGGAGTTTGGCCTTTAATGCTGGTCCTCTGGCTCCTTAGTCATTGCTTGTTGACTGAGCCGCGTTTGCCTTGTACAAAGCTTGGATGTTCTGTCCTCATAGTGCCGATCATAGTCCTTAAAAACTGTTTTTTATCCCCTTAAATTGCTTTTCTGCAACCAATGAAGTACTTTCTCCTCGGTTCTTAGCTTTTCCCTAAAGCAAAAGTTGCAAACTGGTGTCCCCAAGCTAGGGAAGCCTGCAAACTGGTTTTATTTGAGGCATGTTTTTAAAAATAGCTGAGTTACTTTGGATTGCAACTGAAACGTTTGCAGAAAATCCGGGTTTTGACCTCTGGAAAAATCAGAACTAGTATCCTGGGCTCAGGGTCTCTGGAGGCACCAGTCATCTGCAGCTGAAGAGCTGCTGCCCCTTGGCTGGTTGTGTGGGAAGCGTACCTCCCTGACCCTGTTGTCTTATACCCACCATGTCTCTCCTTGGTTCCTTGCCTGACCTCCACAGGCCTTTTAGTTTGTAACCTCTGCACTTGATTTTGTTCCCCTCATTGAGTGAGTAGTAGTCCTGGTGATTGAGTTGTTTGGAATGCCACTGGGTTGGTACCAGTGGCATTCCAAAGCAGAAATTATTTTAGCTCTCAGAGCCCAGCACGAACTATAGCAAAAGCCTAATTGCTTCAGATACATTTGAACTCAGCTCTAACAAGGTAACCATTAACCATGGTTGGAAGGAAACCTTACGTTTGAATTTGGGCAGCAGGGCCCCTCTGGAATGTCACATGTGACAGATGACCTTATCACCCAAGCAGAACCTTGGCATTATGGGTGTTGATTCCTGAAAACAGACAGCTTGGCCACCAGCCTCTTGGGTTGGATCTCCTTGGCCACGCGCACAGCTTTGTGGGTCCCAGCTAGAGGAAGCTGAGCTACTTCCTTAGTGGATTCTTGTTCCTGAAGGGGCCGGCTCCATTGCCTAGAGCCCATGGGTCACAGATCTTATGTTCCATGAGCAGAATGCTCAATATTAGTCATCTGGGTGTTCCTCTCCTATTTTCTTATTTGTGTCATTTAATTATCTGTCCCTAGGAAAACACTGAAAGACTGTCTTGAAGATTAGATGTCTGTTCAAACATTCAGTTCTCACGTTCTAAAGTTCAGTCTAGAATACAGTTGTCCAAGAACAGGACACATGTAGCCTCCAGAGCTCTCTGTACTGGGTTGCTGGGATAACTAAAGCCAGATGCAGACCACGAGCTCTCAGGAGGCTGAGTGAAGAAGCTGGGCTTTTGGGGACAATCTGAATGCAGAGCGCCCAGAGCAGGCCGCTTGCTTTGCCTGTTTTGGTAGTGGAGTCGAACATGTGGGATACATGTGACTGAGTGATTGTGGGGGAAATTGTGTGAACTTAGAGTGTGCTGCTGTTTGAATAATGCAAAACTTTGTTCTCTTTCTTGGAAATAAGATTATCTCTTCGAGATTGTGATTTCTGAATAATGACACTTTATTCCTGTAACCCTGACTGTGTAGTTGTTGTAACTCCATGGTAAAGATTTCTAAGTTAATTTTAATTCATTAAAGTTATATAGTTCTATCATAGAAAATATGAAAAAAGAGAAAGAAGTCATCATCCCACTACTTAGACAACTTTCAGAATTTTCTTATGTTTGTTTCAGTGTCTTGTCATATTTGCATCCAGCCTCCTATGCATATTTTTACACAATTGAGCTGTTATTGTACTATCATAAGATTGTGTTAGGTATTATTAACCTACATTTTGCAGAATAGGGAGGTAGTTGAGAACATGGACTGTGGAGGCAAAAATGTTTGGGATCAGATTCTTGTTCCCCCAATTCCTGGATGTGTGGCCATGGGCAGGTTACACCTAACATTTCTGTGCCTTGGTTTCATCATCTAAATCAGTGGTTCTCTAACAGGGGTGGGATGGAGGGCAGTTTTGCCCCCAGGGGACACTTGGGAATGTCTGGAGGTATTTTTGGTTTTTACAATGCTGGGAGGTGGGTGCTCCTAGCATTTAGTGGGTAGAGGCTAGGGATGTTGCTTAACATCCTACAATGCAAAGGACAGTCCCCGCAACAAAAAGCGATCTGTCCCCAAATGTCAGTTGTGCCAAGGTTAAGAAACCCTGCTCTGAATAAAATGGAGATAATAACGGTACCTACCTCACAGGATTAGTGTGAGGATTAAAAGAGTTAAAATATGTGAAGTACTTAGAACAGTGCCTAGCACCTAGGAGCTGCCATCTAAGTATTAGCTATTATTACTATTATAATTCCTTTTTTTCACTGCATATAGACATGTCATCTCTAGTTAAAAATGACATAAACATCATCTTTAATGGTTTCACAATATCTTATATTAAGGTTTCTTTTACATAAATGCTGCATGCTCCTAACGTGCCTTTCTTTCTTCCCCACCAGATGAAATTAAATCAGAAATAGAAAAACAAAGGTAAGCTGTAGCATTTTTTCCCTGCTGAGATACATTATTAAGGAAATAAGCAGAGGTCATGGGGACCTCTTTCCCTGCCTGTTTTCTCTTAATTCTAATCCTCAGGGTAGCATGCACTCCCTAGCACAGTGCTGGGCACACAGTAGGACTTAATAGATGTTTGAACTAATGCTAGGTTAATAGGTTGCTGACTCAGTAATTGTGTGTTTGGAGGAAAGGTTAAAGAAGATCAGGTTAACGCTTTTGTACCTTTTCCTGACAGAAGAGGCAAAGCCCTTGTCTCTTTGTATGTCATGCTTCCTTCGGCGTTAGAACAGCTTGCCCCAGAAGTGGCTGCTTCTGATCTTCATAGTAATGATGCCAGTTAGTCACAGTTCAGAAATACAACTCCGTCATGCCTGACGCCAGGACTCAGTCCAGGACCTTGCTTTCTGCATGTGGCGCTTTGGTGATTTTCTAATGCATGTGTTTAATCTTTTAATCTTCTAGCCCCACCATTGCCAGTTTTCAGCCATTTTTAATTAATCAAATGGTTACAAGTGGAATGGGAAGTTAGCGTGAAGTGTGGGAAAATCAAGCTTTTTTTTTTCCCTTATCTTCCTTCTCTGCCCCCTCCTGTTTTTTCCCTAGGCTTGGCGCCGCCGCTCCCCCAAAGGCAAACTTCATTGAAGCCGACAAGTATTTCCTTCCGTTCGAGCTGGCTTGCCAGTCCAAGTCCCCACGGGTGGTCAGCACATCTCTCGACTGCTTGCAGGTACCACGTTTCAATTTGATTTATACAGAGGGTTCTCTCCAAGCCACAGGCGGTTCTTGCACAGGAGCTATGCTAGTCTCCACCCTGGTACTCGGATGCTCTTGGAGGTGATGGAGAAAGGAGCAGTCCGGCTTATTCTCTACTGAGATCTGACGAGGGGAGAGAGTGAGGAGGACAGAGAAGAAGCTAAAACAAGAATTTGTTTCCCTAGAAATATTTGATTTGTTGAATTCTCTTATGTATTTCTAGATGAAATCTTTAGCATTAATTGGAATATTTGGTACACATGAGCACATAAGGCAATTTTATGCAACCTCTTTCTTGATGGCATTAAAATTCATAATGGCAAGTAGAGAAGTAGATAATTGGAGCCGTAAATAATTTTCTCATAAATCACCTTTTTACTGAGGAAGAAACAGGAGTAGAGAAGTTAGGGTGACTTGTCCAACAACACACATGTACTGAGAGGCACAAAGAGGACTACAACTTGGGTTTCCCAATTCCTAGTTCAGCTTTCTTGTATTTTTTTCTCAAGACCTACTCCTGAGGTTTCTGATTATTTCAGAGTACATTTGTTCTTAATATCAGTGGGTAACTCATATCAGTGAGAGAAGTTTGATGAATTTCAAAAAACATATTAAAAAGATCCACAGTTTACTGGTGCTTTTTAAAACAGGGATGGTAAATAAGAGTCTATATTATGATTGTTTAAAGAGCTGTATTGAGAAGGTTTCTGAAGTCTCATCTGGGTTCCTTGAGAAGGAGTGCCATGATTGATTGATTATGTCTTCCTAGGCACAGGACTGCAAATTGGCAGTGGGCGTACCATATTTTTGGCATCTCTGGTCTAATATTTACTCTATTAACCTCTCGATATATATACTTGAGAATGGATGACAGTTTCTTCACAGAAGAAACTTTTCCAAATGAAAAGCTATTTTCTCATTCAATATAATTCTGTACAGATTGTCGTATGTGAAACATATAATGAGCCAAGAATTCTTAAATGGCAAGCTTAAGTCTTCTATCCCAAAATATTTTTGCCGGGAACATTTTCTGAGGAAATTTGGCATAAGTTTAATTTTAGTTGTTTGTTTTTCCCCATGTCAAGATTTGGTTTTGAAGCTGGGGCTGATGGTTAACATGATTGATGCACTAAGAACAGTGGCTGATGTGGACGGAGCACCTGTCCTGTGCTGGGCCCTGTGCTAAGTGCTTTCTCTACATTACTTGTTTAACCCTCAGAGGTACTTACTCTCATCCTCATTTTAGAATTGAAGAAACTGAGGCTTAGAAAATAAAGTGACCAGCCTAATCCAAGGTCCCCCAGCCAGGGAAGTGATTGAATTGGGGGAATATCCAGAACTTCTTAACCCCATGTCAATGCTTTTAAACTAAACTATAGCCCATAGGCCAAATCTGGCCCGCCACCTGCTTTTTTAAATAAAGTTTTATTGGCACATCCTTTGCCATCAAGTCGATTCCAACTCATAACGACCCTATAGGACAGAGTAGAACTGCCCTATAGGGTTTCCAGGGAGCAGCTGGTGGATTTGAGTTGCTGACCTTTTTAGTTAGCAGCTGAGTTCTTAACTGCTGTGCCACCAGGACTCCAATTGGACCACAGCCATGTCCGTTTGCTTATGTATTATCTATGGCTGCTTTCCTACTATTATGATAGAGTTGAGTGGTTTTGACAGAGGCTTTGTGACCCACACAGCCTGAATATTTAGTATCTAGTCCTTTACAGAAAAAGTTGCTAACCCCTGCTCTTAACTATTACCCTGTGGTTCTGGCTTGTTTAATTGAAAATACGCTGTATTTTCCTAGAAATAGTCTGTTTCTGGAATTCTTTATGTATGTGTGATTTCTAATGGAAACATTGACTTCCTGCTTCAGCCCACTGTCTGTCTTCAGCCCTGAGTTGTAAATTTAAGAGTACCTGTCTTGAGGCTTATGGCTTATGGTTATCTCTCTTTCTGGAATGGTAGTTCTCTGTAGTTTGATAGCTACACTAGGATTTCTTTGGTTAGTATATAAAATGCAAAATATGTCATCTTTTGTAACATTAACAAGTGGCTGATGCTCCCTGGAATGCTGAATAAATGTAATTCCCCCTCCGTGGTAGTCTTTGCAAAGCCTGTTTGACTGCCTTTTCCCAGTGTGGGTGAGGTAACTTCTGTCTTGGAAATGGAAATGAAGTTTAGTTTTGGCAGGACTGAATCTAGCTACAGGCACGTCCACATTGTGCCCTGGGCATTTAAAGGCATCATTCATTGAGCTTGGCAAGATGATAGGGTGAAAGGTGCTGCCGCGCGTTTGGTTTGTCAGGAGCACGATTAGCTAAGAGGCATCTCTGCCCACTGGGAGAAGCCTGGAGACTTCCCTGCTGCTCGCTTCTACCAAGTGATAGAGTCTCTGTATTTCTTTCCTTCAGCGCCTGATCTGCTACACAGTTTCCCAAGGCCAGGGCTCAGGGTAAGGAGTGTGAGGGTTTAGACTCGTCTAAGTTAGTGAGTGGTCTCCAAGTTTTTCTCATCACATATTAAAAATTAAAGTCTTTGAGAATATCCTCCCAATATATTCACATTTCTTCAGTTGTAAAATTATATACATGTGCTACTGTTATTAAATTATATACATTATAAAGCATACAAAAATACAACTTTAAAAAGGATAAGATAAAAAGAAATAGAAGTTTTCATGTTTTCTACCTACATCCCAGTGAAGGATGTCTAGGAAACCACTGGTCTTAGCTGTCCTGCTCCGACCAGAAGCATTATCTTTTAGTTTCTGTTTCTAGAAAACTTGGGATTTTTTAATGCACATTTTAAAATCAGTTTGTAATTATATAAGTCGTATTATGGCTATATTCTCTGTTAAAAAAAAACTTTTTAGAACTTTACAGATACGGCTGAAGTTCTTGGGCCATTAGCCCCAAACTCAGTTACGTGTTTACCAAAACCACCAAACCCATTGCCATGGAGTTGATTTTGACTCACAGCGACCCTATAGGGCAGTGTAGACCTGTCCTGTAGGTTTCCAAGGAGGAGCTGGTAGGTTCGAGCTGCCAGTCTTTTGGCTAGCAGCCAGCGTCTTAACCACTGTGCCACCAGGGCAACAGTTACTTGTTTAAATGTTTGATATTCTTTCCTTTCCTTCCTTCCTCCCTTCTCTCTTCCTTTCTTCATTGCCATATTGCTACATATAGACCTAATTCATTCCTTTTGACTGCTATATGATACACTCCACATTTCGTTGTCCCTTTCTTTGTAGAAGGGTATTTAGTTTTTTCTAATTTGTGATTTTTTACAAATAAGGTTATAGTGAACATCCTTGGTCATAGGTAACTTTTAATTCTTACCACTTGGACAAAAGAAGTGGAGGTGGAAGACAATTTGTACCATATATATTCTTTCATGTGAGTAGGATAGCTTGAAATAAAGCTTACTGATTCTGTTTGTTTCTACTCCATTGCCGTTGAGTCGATTTTGACTCATAACAACTCTATAGGACAGAGTAGAACTGCCCTATAGAGTTTCAAGACTGTAGTCTTTACAGAAACAGACTGCCACATCTTTCTTCCACAGAGCAGCTGGTGGATTCGAACCACTGGCCTTTCAGTTAACAGCCGAGTGTTTAACCACTGTTTGTTACTAGGTGTGTCTTATTTTACACCAAGAAACTAACCCCATAGCATTTCTCCTTGTGCAGTTGGTCCTCTGAAGGCCTGTTGTAGTGCATTTTCTTTTCCTCATTTTCCACTCAGTGCCAGAACATCCCGTGTAAGCCTCCCTGGATGCAGAATCAGCGGGCCAGCTACCCACAGGCCTCCCACATCTGCCCGTTTTCCCATCCCTCATTGCACTGGCAAGAAATAAGGCTGGAACTCCTCTCCATCTCTGCTACCTGCCCCCCCAGAGTGCGAGCCACCAGCGTCTCCGTCCTGGACACCTGAGACAGCCTCCTCGCTGGGCCCCCTGCTTTCCACTCCTGTTTCCCTCCAGCCCTGGGAGCCAGGGAGGGCCTTTTAAAACGGGTCACAGTATATTAATCCTTCGCTTAAATGTGTAATTAGCCTTCCACTCACACACCGGGTGAAGCACTTTCCTTGAGTGAATTTGCCAAGCACACTCGTGCCACTGGGCCTTTGATGTGTTTCCAGGCTGCTTCTGTGCATTTATGAAAATACTTACAGACACACGTACATGCAGTTTTTATTTTCCGAAAATGAGACGGTGTTGCACATTATCACTGTAGCTGGGAACAGCCAGGTTGCATTTAGCAGCATATTGTGGACATCTTTACATCGAATTCTTCACTCCGTCACAGATTTTCCTCGGTCGCCTAATGGTGCAGAGGTTAAGTGTTTGGCAGCTAACCAAAAGGCCAGCAGTTCGAATCTACCGGCCACTCCTTGGAAACCCTATGGGGCAGTTCTACTCTGTCCTGAGTTGGAATTGACTCAACGACACTGGGTTTGGTTTTCGGTTTTTTTGGTCTTCTCTGTGCCAGACCCTGTTCTAGGTTCCAGAGATACAGCAGTAAATATAACAAGCAAAGAGCTCCATCTTATGGAGTGTACGTTCTAGTCAGTGGTAAGTGTTAAATGTGATCGTTATGTTGGGCAGTAAAGCAGGGACGAAGGACAAGGTTGCAGTTTTAAGTAGGGTGATTCCAGAAGGCATCAGTAAAAGGTGACTTTTTAGTAAAGCCTTAAAGGTAGTCAGAGTGGAGCCATATGGATATCTGGGGGAAGCACATTCCAGGCAGAGGAAACAGCAAGTGCAAAGACCCTGTGGTGGACATGTCCCTGACATGGTGTAGAGCTGGGAGGAAGTCAGTGGGTCTGGAGCAGATTGACCTGGAGGGGAGCAGGAGGAAATAAGGGGGAGTGGCCTACAAATCTACAAACCCTGTAGATCCCAGCTGAGACTTTTGGCTTTCGTCTCCCTCCCCTGGAGAACATGGATTCCATGAGAAAAAGTGCCTTGTCTGTCTTTCTCACCATTGTATACCCAGTGCCCAGAACAATGTCTGCCTAGAGAAGGATGAGAAGGCAGAATCAGAAAGACTCACAGGACCTAAGAACTCTGTTTTTTTTTTTTTTTTTTTTTTGGCCCTATGTCACTGCGCAGGAAAAGAAGTAAAGTCCTACGTAAGATCCTTTTCAATTTGGTGGGTAATGTGGCTTTTAAGGAGTATGTAGATGGGAGGATACTTCCAATCCTTTTTCATACTTTAACTAAACATTCAGTAATTCATTTCCATCTTTGTGGCATCTATATTGGTTTTATGGGGCCTGCTTTTTAACATTCATATTTTAGGAGTTCATAGATCATTCCACTCACAGCCCAGTGATCAAAATGGACTCAGTTAAGAGTAAGGAGTAAGCAGCGTTAAAAAACCAGGGCTCATGTACCAGATAAGGAGGCTTGGTGGTGTAACAGGTAAGCACTTGACTGCTAACTGGTTCCGTGGGAGAAAGACCTGGACATCTGCTCCTGTGAAGATTGTTCTTGTTGGATGGAATCAAGTCGATTCCGACTCATAGTGAACCTATAGGACAGAGTAGAGCTGCTCCATAGAGTTTCCTAGGCTGTAACCTTTACGGGAGCAGATTGCCAGGTCTTTTTTCCTGCAGAGCGGCTGGGTGGGTTTAAACCACTGGCCTTTTTGTTAGTAGCCAGGCACTTAACCATTGAGCCACCAGGGCTCCTTCTGTAAAGGTTATAGCCTAGAAAACCCTATGAGGCAGTTCTGCTATGCCACATCGGGTCGCTGTTAGGCACCCAACAACATATACCAGGCGGCCAGCCCTGCCCTCTTAGAAGCCTGCGTATGCAGCAACAGTGAGAGGAGAGGAAGTAAAGGGCATCTTGACTTGTTCTTCAGAAATGTGCCTTCCACCCACACAGCTGGAGATGCCTGAGGTTGGACTTCAGCAGCAGATTGTGTGCCGCCATCTCTCCTGCTCGTTCAGTCACTCGGTCCAGCAGTATCGTATTTCTATTCTCAGCCTCTCTCTTTCAACCTGTGTTTCTTTCTGCTGATTGAATGGCGGCAGCACTTTCATAGGGAGTGCCGAAATAAGCCATTGAGCTGCCTCAGGCCTCTGCAGAGCAACCAGTCTTCCTGTCGTGGTGGCCCCTGTGCTGTAGATAACCTCAGGACCTGCGGCCACATTGTGCCGTAGAGCAAGAGTGTGACAAGCCAGAGGCCGGAAAGATAAAGAAGAGCGTTTTGAGAGTCATTATGAAGTCACTGGAAGCCGAGAATGCCTTAGAACCCAGAGGTTCTATCCAGAGGGCTTGTACCTGATGAGTGGCTCTGTTATCTCAGCAACCATGACAATAACTTGGGGAGTTTGGAGGGAAACACTGATTCCCAGGCCCCATCCTGGAAAATCTGGTTCAGTAGGCCTGGGTTGAGGGCTGGGAATCTGTACTTTTAACTAACTCCCCCAGGTGATTCTTCGTCACAGCCAGACTTAGACATCATCCTGACCTTTACCGTCCCCTCTAGCTCTCAGATTGTCTGTCATTGTGAGTGAGGTGGCACAGGCCATGAAAGGGGCCCTGTGCGCACTGATCTGCAGTGTGACAGCAGGGCACTGCCTTCGCAGTCACTCGTTTCCCTGGCCACGTGGCTGACCTGCACTTTTGGTAACAGATGTGAAATTTAGTTGTTGCTTTCACTTTAACTTTTGGAACAGAAAATACACTGACATGATTGAGCAGTCAGAAAGGGTGGAATGATGTACTATCAAATGTCATAGTCTTACTCCTGCCTTCACCTGCTCGGTTCCCCTGCCATCAAACAAAACATGGTGTCATTAGTTTCTAATGTTTCCTTCCCATAACAAAAATACATATACACAGCTTTTCTAACAGCTTTATTGAGATAGAGTTCACCTAACATACTCTTTAAAGTGTACAGTTGAGTGGCTTTTAACATATTGACAGAGTTGTGCAGCCATCGCCACGATCCAATTTTAAAACGTTTTTGTCACCCCAGAAAGAAACCCATACCCATTAGCATTCACTCCCTGTATCCCCTCAATCTCACCAGCCCTAGGCAGCCACTAATCTACCTTCTGTCTCGCTAACCCATCTACTTTTTGCATCCTGGGTTGCGCCCCGGGGACTGTTCCGTGCCTTTCTCATCCAGCCCTGTCTCGTTATTGTGGGGATCTCTTGCTGTCAAGACAGGAGGAGGATGGCTGGCTGCACTTACAGATGGTTGTGCCTGCCTTACTCCTGGGGAGCCGAAGAATCTGTGGGAACCAGAAGTTAAAGTCCATGCTCACTGTCTGTCTTGCTGTTGTGGGCGGCCTCAGTCCCAGGCAGGCAGAAACTTCTACTCTTTGTTCTTTCCCTTTTTAGAAACTCATTGCATATGGGCATATCACTGGCAATGCCCCCGACAGCGGAGCCCCGGGAAAGCGACTGATCGACAGGATCGTTGAAACCATTTGCAGTTGTTTCCAGGGCCCTCAAACCGATGAAGGAGTTCAGTTGCAGATAATTAAGGTATTTCTATTTGTTTCCCTGGTCTGGTTATTAACTTAGGATGCCATTCCCCTTTGGGAATTTGAATTCTTAATTTTCCACGTTAGTTGTCTTAGGTGGTGCTGAGCTGGAACAGAAGAGTTTAAACGTCACTTAGATCCTTTGTTAAGTGTCAGAATTTTTTAGCGTGGACTGAGACAAGAAGAGTGGAGCCAGGTGTGTTTTCCAAATAAACAGTTCTGCCAGTAACAGTTTAAATTGCCTTGTGAATTAAACTTACTGAAACCCTCTGGTCTTGCCCCCTTGAAATTCTGGATTTCGCAGCCTGCCATTTCCTAGCATGTCCTTGTTGATACTCATATCACCAACTTGTCCCCTGTCTTCTTGTCTCCCCACTCCACTTCCCTACTCCATTTCTGCTGCCAGGAATGGTTTGGCATGGTATGGTACCATCTGCTTGCCAGAGAACAGGATCAGGATGGGTGTAGCCAGGATTCCAAATCCTCAATCCTGGATGTATTACCTTGGTGAAGGAGGGCTTCGTGTTAGCTGCACCCTTCAAAGCTCTCTCTGAAATCCAGGAGAGAACTAGGAAACTGCCACTGAAACATGTACATTTTATGATTAATATGGGCAGTATCATGTCGGAGCGCTTTTCCTTCCTGAGAAAAGTGGCTGTATTTTGTGTTCTAGGTTTTCAATCAGTATTAACATTTGAAAGTTTGACCCTTTTAGAGTGAGCCTGTAGAAAGCCCACTTCAACACAGCTTAATTATTTCAAGTAATTTGGATTTATGGATTTAATCATTGTTTTTGAACTCAGAGCAATAGGAAGTTAGCTCTTGGTATTATCATCTGGTTTAGTTTGCAGAGTTGTCTTCTTAAAATTTATTTTAAAAAAGCAAAACCCTCTAGAAAAGTTTAACCACGGGAGGTGGAAGGGAGGTGGGTGTTCATGAATGTGAAGGCTGCATTTTTTTGTTTTAGGCTCTCCTGACCGCGGTGACTTCCCCACACATTGAAATTCACGAGGGCACTATCCTACATACAGTTAGGACATGTTACAATATCTATTTGGCCAGCAAAAATCTCATCAATCAAACCACTGCCAAAGCCACCCTTACTCAGATGCTGAACGTCATTTTCACCCGCATGGAAAACCAAGTGGTGAGTGATCCAGTTATCAGCCACTGAGTGGGGACGTCTGTCACCCATTGCTGTGGATTGTTTAATGTGTAGCCTCAGTGCCTTGGGGAGAATCACTAGCATTTTAAAGTTTAATCCTCACGTTATACCTCTTTGCTGTGAATTCTCTGTGCTGTGCTTTTGTTCTTGCTTTAAAAACCAGACAGAGAATCTAGCGTGGGTTTTGAAGTTTGCATTCAGAGTTTACTTTGAGTTTGTCAGAGAAATTTATTTCCTTTTTTAAATTTCATCCTTCTGGTTGGAAATATTTTAAGCATTAGGCTGGTGTATTTTTTGTTCCTTATCAAGATGCTGGGACCATTTCGATTGAATCCTTCTTTTGTTGTTTTTTAGTTGCAGGAGGCCAGAGAATTGGAAAAACCAATCCAGTCAAAACCCCAGTCCCCCGTGATCCAAGTTGTGGCAACATCCCCAAAGTCTGGTCGTTTGAAGCAGAGCCAGGCACAGAGCAAACCAACAACTCCCGAAAAAACAGATTTAACCAACGGTGATCATGCTAGGAGTGGTTCTGGTAAAGTGGGCCCAGAAAACGGAGACACACTCAGAGAAAGAGGCCCGTCACTATCAGGTACGGCCCAGCAGTCTGTCCCTTTCCACCTGCAAGAGGGAATCAGCCTGTGTCTGACAGGCAGATGGGGTTGTCTGGTAACATCTGCAGGAAACCTCTGATAGCAGCAGCTTGCCTGTTTCTGGGCTTTCCCCTGACATCCTTCCCCTTTGCTTTTCTCTTACGGGATACAACCAGTGAGGCATGATGTCTAATCTAATGCCCTGCTGTCAGCTGTGCTGTTTTCTGTAATAGCTCCTAGAATGTCTCTAGCTATTTCTTCTTGATGTCAGCTTCAGTCCAGTGGGTTTAGTTTGGGGGCACTTCGTGCCCAGGAGTTCATTGTTTGGGTGATTAGTCATTTAATGTCTGTCTTACCACCCAGAGGAGGACAGGGACCCTGTCTGTCATGTCTCCACTGGGTCTGCAGTCCTTGCCCAGTGCCTGGCAGTTAGCTACTCAAGCATCTGTGAAAGGAGCAAGAAAGGAGGGGATGAATGGATGGACAGATGGAGAGATAGCTTTCTTTTCCTCTTCCTGGTGACCAAGTACATCACTTGTTTTTTGTTTGCTTTTTATAAATGAAAAAATATTCCAAACTTTATTATAGTTTTAAAGTAAATGAAACATTAGGCATGCAATGTTGGATTGGGTTGTCATGAAATCATATATGAATATTTGTATCTCTTCCTGGGCAATTTGTAAGAACCAGATCCAGAATTCTTATTTTTTCAGGAATTTACCTTTCCCAAATGAATCTGTCAAAAAATTCTTCACTCTGGCTGCTTGTTCTACATGAAATACCCAACTCATCTTTAGAATTGGTCTCATATCATCTGTCACATTAGTGATGATTTCTGTTGGTGGTATGTTCCCCACTAGAATGCACATAGTTGGAGCAGCTTTTGTTTCTTTACAATTTATCAGACTATTTGGCATACGTTAGGACCGAGTGTTATTACTGGAATGTTGTTTTGTATCTGTTTACTCAAGGAAAAGACAAAGGAGAAAGTCGCCACGAGAATTGCATGTGTCTCAGGGTGAGCCAGGTTGCCGTCTGCTCTTCTCTTCTGTCATGTCTAAGAAAGGTTCTTAGAAACTCCCAGCCCACCCTCTTTGTCTGCCATCATCTTTGCCTTCTTAACTCTCCAGGGCGAGACCAGCTTTACTGTAACCCTTATCAAACTGTGGTCAATCAATAAATATTAATATTTAAGCACACTGTAGTAAGCATGGTTGCGTGGATGTAAAAGCAGATCTCTGAGTTGCATGAAAGTGCTTTCACTGCAGCACATTTTCTACACAGCAGCCAAAGTCATCTCCTAAAAGCATGAATTAAATCACCGCCCTACCCTGCTGGAGCCCCTTGCGTAATTTCTCATCCTATCCCATTCCGAGTAAAATTCCCAGTCCCTCTTCCTGCCTGCCCCCCCATGGCTTTCAAGGCCCTGTGTGACCTGGCCCCTGTCCCCGTCTCTGTCCTCTTACACTCCTCCCCCTCGTTTATTACACAGTGCACAGACATTGTTTCTGGTCTTGCATGTGCAATGCTTGTTCCTGCCTCAGTGCCTTTGCACTTACTTTCCTCCCTCTTTTGTCTTCAGGTCTCTCTATTCAAACGTTACCTCTTTAGAGAGGCTTCCCTGAGCATGCTACCTGAAGCAGCCCATCACTTCTGTCCCATCTGCTTTTATTTTCTTCATGGTACTTATCACTACCTGAAATTACTTCAGTGTTTCTGTTTACTTGTTCCTGGTCCGAGACCCGGGCTGCCTTCTCTGTTCACCACTGTATTCCTTCCCATCACCTAGAGTGGTACCTGGTACACACGGCAGACACTCAGTAAACGTATGTTTTGAATGAACAGAAAAACACGTGATTTATACAATATAATTTTGAACGAACAGTGTAACTTGAAGGTCTGCTCTAATGAAGAGAGAATGATTGGCGGTTACTGTATTGCTATGGGTTTTGTTGCCTGTACTTGGTGGACCCCTGGAGGCGTCTCCCAGGAACTTGAAATTGGACTGACCTACGAGAGTCCGACTGCAAACTTGCAGAGAGTGGATCAGAACAGAAGTGTGTCGTCACCTTAAAAAGAGCAAATGGCTTTCAGTTCTCCAAACGAGGCTCTAAGACAGAATGGACCCTTCAAAAGGGGGGTTGAGCAGGGCTGGAAGCCACAGAGGAAGGGCAGCCTGAGAGGCAGATGGTGGAGGTGCCCACCCAGGGAGACGGTGCCCTGGGCGGGAGTCCAGGCTGTCACTGAGAGGCTGTGCTCTAGCAACTCTGTAATAGAGGGGACATATCAGGCTCTCCTACAGATTCTGTCCTGTACTGAGCCCCTTCACAGTAGCTATCCGAATTGGGCAGTCCCTGTGCCAAGCACTGTGCTATCCAGCTCATTGACATCTACTTTCCTGTTAATGGAGAGCCCCTCCCATGGCCTTCCTGGGATCATTTGTCTCCCCGTTTGCCAGATGGAGAGAAATGACTGACAGACTTGAGCATCTCTTTCCCCTTAGCAGTTCTGTTTCTCATCCTACATTAATAAATTGTCAGCCAATTTGTCAGTCTCATCAGCCCACCAACAAGTGGGTCAGTGGCTCTTTGCAAACTCACAAAGTGAAAATTTTGACCCTGAGACCTGCTAGCTTAGATGAAGCTTTGGGGATGGCTAGCCAGCCTTCCCTGCTCCCATTTATCCATTCACACCTCTCCTGATTTTCCCACTACTTTTGTCCATTTTTTTTAAGCAGCTCTATTGAAATATAATTTACATACCACGTAATTCATCCTTTTAAAATCCAGTGGTTTTTAGTATAGTCCCAGAGTTGCGTAACCATCACCGCAGTGAATTTTAGAACGTTGTCATCACCCCAAAGAGAAACCTGTACCCATTAGCAGTCTCTCCCCATTTTCTTCTAAGTTCGTTTTTAAGATTCTAGCTTTTTAACCCCTAACATTAGATATTATCAGTTTTGCATTTATAAGATAATATGTAAAATTACCTGTTTTACCAGTTTCTTAGCTCATCTTTTCTTCTTGCAAAGAAAAGAACAATCCAACTCTTAAGTACTGTAAAATAGAGAAAATTTAACTTCCTTCAGCCAATACAGAGGCTCCCTGATAAGATAGTGTGGGTTTCGATCATGATGGATCATGACTCCATCACGTAGTAGCTCTGTGACCTTGGGCAGAACCTTTAAAGTCTGTGAGCTTCAGATTCCTGATCTGTAAAATAGGGATGCAATTAAAACCCATTGCCATAAAGTTGATTCCGACTTATAGCGACCCTAGAGGACAGTAGAACTATCCTGTGGGGTTTCCAAGGCTGTAACCTTTATGGAAGCAGACAGCCACATTTTTCTCCTACGGAGCAGCTAGTGGGTCCAAACTGACAACCTTTCGGTTAGCAGCCAAGCACTTAACCACTGCGCCACCAGGACTTCTTCAGTACCTGTCTTACAGGGTTGTTGTGAGAATTAAACGAGATCAGTTTATGGCATGTAGGGCTATGTGTTTGCTATTAGTATTACTATTTAATAAATTTCACCTCAAAGCTGGTTTAAAGAAAAATGTTTCAGATGATAATCAGATGTGAAAGAGTTGGAGTCACGCAGGAGGATAAAGTAAGCCTCCCTGTTTCCCATGTTGTTAGGTGCCATCGAGTCGGTTCTGACTCATAGTGACCCTGTGTACATAAAACATTCTTTCCATGTTGGCAATACCAAATCCTCTGCTTCATGAATTGTATTTTTTTTTGTTGACCAAAAAAAAACAAAAACAACAAGCTTCAGAATGACACTTTATAAAATTAATGAAACACTCCCCTAGGTCCCCCTCCTTCCTGGCTCGTTTTTGACACAGCCTGCCTTCCAGGGAATAAACCTCGTTGGCTTCTTCAGCTCATTGGTTCACCGCATTTTAGTAGCTGTGTAATGGACATGCATTTTGGGACAATAGATCGCCTAATGTATTTCTTCTCAATAAACCGTTGTTTTACTGTCAAGGAACCATATTGGTGTGTGGCTGGAATGGGATGGCAAAAGGCTTTGCTGCCTAGTTTCTTGCCCTCGGTATACTTAAATATTACTAAGTGCTTGGACACAACCAAACCTTGGGCTGGTTTCTAGGAAACAAGCAGGCCACGCTTCGTCGTCACCACGTGTTTGCATCTGCCCCTCCGACTCCACATCTCTCTTCTCCCCCTTCAGGAAGCTTCTGCCTGTAGTAGGACTCCCTGACTCTCCCCACCCCTTCCCGGCCTAAGGATGTTTTGATTTTGCACAGGTCCTTCCCAGCCTGTCAAAGAAAATGAATTAAACACTTTTGTTGTTGTTGTTAGGTACCGTCAAGTTGGTTCTGACCCATAGTGATCCTCTGTACAACAGAATGAAACACTGCCCAGTCCCGCGCCATCCTCACAGTCGTTGTTACGCTTGAGCCCATTGTTGCAGCCACTGTGTCAGTCCATCTCATTGAGGGTCTTCCTCTTTTTTGCTGACCCTCTGTCTTACCAAGCATGATGTCCTTCTTTCCTAATAGACACTTGTATTCCTCTAAAAAAATGATGATCCTGGTGTTTAAGTGGAAAAGCTGCAGTGAGGAAAAGGGGAACTCTGTTGAAATGGAAAATTTTTCTTTTCTTTAGGAATGAAAGACAGTGAGTGCTTTAACTGACACTGCTTTCTGTATGCATCACTGTGGTTAGTCGGGAAATTTCAATATGGACTTTGTTTTGTAGGGAGGGCTTAGTCTACTGGGGCAGGCAGGTAACAGGAAGGTGCAGGCTTCTATTCCGAGGGTGACATAAATACCATCACACAAGCACTCTCTGCATATAAAACACACAGACTTAAAAAATAAATTAACGTTTGAGTGCCTACTTTTTCCAGGCGCTGTTTTAAGTGCTTTGTCATCTCATTTAATCTGTACAAAACCCTGTGAGGTGGATGCGGTTGTGATCATCCCGTTGACTGGGAACTGAGGCTTGTGGAGGTGAAGTAACTTAAATCCCCAAGTTGGGAAGTGGCAGAGCAGGGACCTGAATAAGGCGCGCTGCCTCCAGAGCCTTCACTCTGTGTGTCAAATTCACTTCTGCAAGGGAACGTTTTTCCTCCAGTGTTTCTTAAAATACCCAATCCTTGGAGTCTCCCATTTCTCCCACTCTTGACAGAGGCATGCTAGACACTTCTCACTCTTCTGCTCACTGTATTGTAACAACAACGGTACAAGTGTGATGATGACTGGCACTTGGCCACAGCGGAGGGGAGACAGCTGGGAGTGGTGAGGACCAAGGCCTCTGCGGAGCTCATTAGAGCCCTGGCTGAAGGGGGCAGCTACTCCTAACTCAAGCCAGTTGTAGCCCAGTGTTGCCAGATAGTTGGGTTTTTTTTTTTTTAATTGTACCAGAAATCTGGATTTTTATGAGAAATCTCAGCTTTCAAATGTAAGCAGTTAATTCAGAAGTTTTAAAAAGCAATGCATAGACTGAACAGCACATACCTCCAGGCCAGTGGTCCCCACCAGCCGCCACTTTACAGCCTTTGGCCTAAATCACTGAGCTTGTAGCTCATCTGCTTAGATGTTTTCATCAGGCTATGTTTCTTGGGTGGTAAATGAGAGCAACATACTGTGTACCAGCTGCTTTGGAATGTACAATACGGATTAGAAACTGTCACTATAATTTTATGAAATCATAGCATCAGAGGCTGTTAGAAAGAAACTAGGAAATAGCTAGTCATATGTTTGCCAAACCATGGTGTAGGTAAGACGATTTTAGGTGGTTCTTAAATGAGCAGTTTTTATTTTAATAGTTATGCATTTATTTTAACATGCATCCAAAAAGTATAATCAGCATATCAGGCCTGTGATTTTGCAGATACTGCTTAGGGGAAGTTAATTTAAAGAGCATTGTCAAGTATATAATAATATAAGTGGTAAATGAATATGGCAAAAATTATGAAGGTGACGTGAGAGTGACTGAAGTTTGGGTAACATTGACCTAGTCTAAACCATCTTATTTAGATGGGAAACAGATTTAGGCTCTTGTGACTGGCTGGGGAGTTTTCTAACTTTATTCAACTTCTTTTTTGCCCTCTAAGACAAGCAGATAATGTCAATAGTTTTAACATAAATTTACCTACCTATTTAAATAGTTACAGTGTGTTAAGGGCTGTATGGAAATGAAAATACTTAGTGCTGACTCTCCAGGAACTTGTAGACGAAGCCCAGAACTCATGAAAGTAGTGACTTGATTGAAAATCCTCATTAAGGAAGAATTAAAATGGTTATTTTGGTTTTGTTTATGTAAAGTAATGGTCTTTTGGTCACTGCGCTGTTTTATAAATCAGCAGTGTTTACTTCTAAAAGTCTAGTCTGTTTACTTTATAAACTCTTTCCCAGAACTAGTTTTCTAAAAAGCAGCTGGAGCTGAACCTCTTCTGCTTAAACAGAGTAGCTCAATTTAAAATGTAGCCAATCCTCAGCTATCACATTAGAAACCTCTTGCTAAATTCTGGGCGTACCATCTGGGGAAGGCACATCACTTACCAAGGCTCTGAGGTACCCGAGGTGAAGACGCAGCAGAAAGCTCCATCTTTTGTTCTACCAGGAACCAGAGCTGAATAAAATCCAGCTCCTGCCTCCAAGTTGGGGGGTGGGCCCTGGCAGAACAACTGTGACTTATGAAGGAAGAGTGTAAAAGTCAGAGGAGCTTAGCGTTCCACAAAGGGAAACTCGAAATCGTAGCAGATGCTGCCTAAGTGTTTCCAGATTTCACAGCACAATCTTGCCTTGGCACAATCAGATTTGGCCTTGAGGAGGACTTGCTTGCACCCTTTGCCTTCTGAAATGTGACTATAAAGGAACATTGACATGATCTACTTCTCTCTCTTCCTTTGTTCTCCCTGGAAATGCCCCTATGTGTGTGTTTATTTGGGTGTGTGTGTAGGGATGGATGAAATGCCAATGGATGGAGCCCAGGAGGTGGTGAAGGAGATCTTAGAAGATGTAGTCACATGTGCTGTTAAAGGTAAGAACCAAGGACCTAGCCTTTCTTCCAACCTCATTCCTCCAAAAAAGTCCTTTGCCAAATATGTTAGTGGTAGAGTTTTGTTATTGTTGCTGTTACTGTTGTTTCCCCCTAGTGAACTCATGGAGCTCTGTGCCTATCTGTCAGAAGGAATAAAAAAATTACCTGTTTTTATTGATTGATACTGTTCTCATGTGGGTTAGGTTCAAGGAGCATAGTCTGACCATGGTAGGGCTGGGTGTTCTGTATAGAGACACCACGGGCCACTGCTGTATGCATTCTCCAGCTCAGGGGCGTCCAGGCCTTTCTAGGAGCGGGCTCTGAGCCCTGAGTCCTTTGCTGCTGAATTGTCCTGGCCAGCCACTGCTGCCTCAAGGGGACAGTCCACTTGTCAGCGAGTATTGGGTGCACAGGAAACTTTATTCATTTTGTTAGACTTCATAACTTCTTCAGTTTCATGGTATGGCTGGCTTTAGTGGAATTCAGTGTATATAGCTCCGAATGACTGTTGGATGGTTTTTTCTTTCTTTTCGCCTGTAATCTCAGGTAGATAACTACATATTGAACGCTTAGCCCCAGTGCCAATAAACCATTAATGAGTTGAGAAATCAATAATTCAGTGGGTTGCAATTAGCGCTTTTTTAAATTAGAAATAGAATACAAACTGATGTCACTGTGTGTAGAAATGTTAAGGGCCGTTTCCTGAAGCATGTGTATTAGTTACTTATGTGGACACGTGTGTATACTGGGTCATGATTTTTAAAACGTATTTCTTACTGAGGGTTTTAGTCAGAGAAATTTGAAAGCCCCTGCTCTAAGCCTTATCTTTTTGTTAACATAGGGTACCACAAACTATATACATAGATTCCTTTATTCATTGAACTCCTTGTAGAAATGTCTTTAAAATAGAATAGTTTTATTTCATACCTTTAGGGTTTTTTTTTCTGGGATCTGTAACAAGAAAGGAGTCCCTGGGTAGCTCAAATGATTAAGCACTCAGCTGCTAGCCGAGAGGTTGGCAGTTCAAACCCACCCAGAGGTGCCTCGAAAGACAGGCCTGTCATTCTGCTTCCGAAAGTTCACAGCCTTGAAAACCCGATGGAGCAGTTCTGCACTGTCACACGGGGTCACCATGAGTCAGAATTGACTCAATAGCAATTAACAACAACAACATAACAAGAAGTCTTTATATAATGAATATATATGTGTATTGTTCACTGCTGTATCTCCAGCCACTAGCACAGGGCCTGGCACATAATAGTTCCTTAATAAATAAATATTTGTTGAATGAATATATGCTCTGTAATACCATTATTGAAGATCCTGGTTATTAAATTGTTCAGTGTCCCTTATATGTAGGTCCCCATGGAAAATTCCTTGAAGAGTTCAGTTGTTCTGCTACTCATCAGATATGCTTTCTTTGGCAAAATGATGAGATCTGTTTAATTCTTTGTCTTCCCTTTTTCACATGGCTGCCAGGAAGCTCAGGTCTACATTTTCTCTGTGTTTGAGGTTTTCTGTCATACTGTCAAACCCTTTTCATCCACATGAGATGTCTTCTCTAACCCCTGTAATACTTACGCCCCCACTTTGTTTTTTTCTGTGAGCTGCTTGTAATCTTTTTCAGAAGTGGGCAGAGGTAGCCAGGGCTGCTGCATTGCACAATCTGGGGGGCACATTGAGATGGACTCCAAAAGGAATGAAGCCCCTTGGAGTGTGTTATGCATTGCTGCGGTCCTGGGAGTGGGGCTCTAAATAATAGACACATGTCAAGGTTAAGCACACTTTGCCCAAGCTTTGTTGGTTTCCTATCAACAAAGTGGAGAGGGGTGAAGGGAAAATGTGGTAGCTGGAAAGTTCTGTGAGTAACTTCTTTCTAGTATCAGGAAGCCTTTTAGGATAACTAATTTGGTGATGACTTTTGCACTTGTGTTTTAAGAAGCAGCAGAAAAGCACAGTGTGATGGAACCCGAGAGGGTCCTAGGCGGACCAGAGTGCCAGGAATCTGCTGTCCCCCCAGGAGTAGACGAAAACTCACAGACCAATGGGATAGCAGACGACAGGCAGTCCTTGTCGTCGGCAGATAATCTGGTATGCTGATGATCCTTTTATTCAGTCTCATTTCTGTTTTTACTTTTTTTTAGAAGATGTAGAATATAATCTCGGTCAAAAGGAACAAGAAAAACAAGCCCTATTCTGTTATTAGTCACAAAGTCTGATGTTCTTTGTATTAGCCAGCTCAGTTCCAGGAAATGTGCTAATGTTGGTTGTATATAACATTGTTATTAAACCCTGTTTATTCAGACTTTAAAGTATTAATATATCATGCCCTTTTTCTTGCCTCACAAAACGATATATACTCATTATAGGAAAATACAAAATATACAGAAGGGAAAAATAGAGAAATCAACGTCATCCATAACCCCTGTAACCCAGAGATAACTATTGTTAACATTTTACTTACATCTTTCTAAATTTTTCTTCCCCTTGCATATGTTTTCCAACTAAATGGAATAACACAATATGCATGCTGTTTGGAAACCTGCTTTTAAAATTTGTGTGTATTATAAACATCCTTTCATGGCCAGAGACATGTCTGTCACAGTATTTTTTTAAAGGAGTTTTCCTGTTCTTTTGAAAATGCTGTATATAAGCATTCAAAACAGGAAGTAATATCACCTGAAATCTTCCCCCTCAGATATAGGTTCTATCACCATTTTGTGAACGTCCCTCCAGACCCTACTGTCTGTGCCTTTTCATCAGTGTTTCTCAATCTTTTTCATTTATCGTTCCCCTAAGGAGCCTTTTTAGATATTTTTTTTTCCTGATCACTACTTGCTTCCCGTGACATTTTAATGCTACAAATAATACTGTGTATCTTTTGATGTACTCTGTTATTTCTGTGCCTTATACTAAAGAGGATTAGACGCCCCTCTCCACATGAACCACTTCTTGCCCTTTTGGGGTGGCGTCATCCCCATTGAGAATGCATGCTTTACACTCACAGCGATACGCTCGGGTCCACACAAGGGGCTCATGTCTGATCTACTAAGCTGTAACTTGCTTTTGTTCACTCCAGCTATGTCTTGGACATCTTTCCACATCAGTACATATAGATCTAACTAATTTTTTAATGGCCATGTGAAATTTTATCATGTGAATTACCGTAACCTGTTGAACCAATTCCCTATTAGGTTTTTAGGATATTTCAGTTTTATCACAAGAAATGGTTCTGTAATGAATGTCCTTATAACTGAATCTTGTGCATATCCTTCATTCTTTCCTTAGAGTAAATTCCTGTAGGTGTTACTGCTGTGTCAAAAGAGTTGGAAGCTTTCAAGGCTGTTGATCATTAACACCAAATTAGCCATTTGCGAAGTAATACTCAAGTACCTGCCCACTTGCAGGGTGTCAGTACCCATTCTCTCATTAAAACTGGGCAATATCACTTATTTAAATGTTGGCTAGTCTGATGGGAGAAAGATTCTGCCTTAGTGATTACTAGTAAGGTTATTTGCCATTTGTATTTCTTGGTGAATTGCTTATTAATATCTTTTGCTGCTTTACATGGGGGGGGGGTCCCATATTTCCTCAATGAATTCTAAGACGATTTTGTATGTTGAGGGTATTAATTCTTATCCTATGTTACGAGTATTTTTCTTTTTTTTTAAATGTGCTCTACTTTTGTAAAGAAATTTATTTTAAAACGCCTGTTGTTTTTCCCATTTATCCTGCAATAGTGTTGTTAGAAATACGTTCCTTACCCCAAGCTTATATAAATATTTACCTATCTTTGTTTTAGAGTTTTTTATGGTTTAAATTTTGATCATTTATCATTTTAAGCCATCTATACCAACTTTTTGAAGGACAAGGAACAAGGCTTTATATCGCTGTAATGACTCCCCCATAGCTTCTGTTTTGCCAGACTTACCCCTCCCCCACATCCTTCACCTCCCTGTGTGAATAAACATAAGAACTTCAATTTCCATGAGGTAATTACATTTCTTATTTTTTGGAAAAAATTATCCTTTTGTGTTGACCCTTTGGTTTTTCTTTTATTTGTTTCAAATTATCAGGAATCGGACACACAAGGACATCAGGTGGCTGCTAAGTTCTCTCACATTCTGCAGAAGGATGCCTTCCTCGTGTTCCGCTCCCTTTGCAAGCTGTCCATGAAACCCCTTGGAGAAGGCCCCCCAGATCCAAAGTAAGCAGACCACAGTTCTTGGCCCTCTGCAGCCCAAATGACCCAGGAGCACATGGCCCTGTGTTTCAGCCTCGCCTTTTTCCAGCACTGTGTGCTCTTGTCTGTGTGAGCACTGGAACGTATTCAGGGCTCGCTTACAACTTTGCGCACTCATGCAGTCCACGTAGTCCTTTCGCTGAATTGTCCCTGCATCCTCACCAACCAAGATTTTGCCCAGTTTTGCTTTCCTTGGTTTATATGCTAAAAACAATCAATATATTGAACATGAAAAACCAAAAATCCCATTGCCGTTGAGTTGATTCCAGCTCATAGTGACCCTATAGGACAGAGTAGAACTGTCCCATAGGGTTTCCAAGGAGCACCTAGTGGATTCGAACTGCTGACCTTTTGGTGAGCAGCCAAACTCTTAACCACTATGCCACCAGGGTTTCCGTATTGAACATATACCCCTTTTTTACTCATTGATTTGTTTTCCTGATCAGGGGTCAGGAAGGGGCAGGATGCATGCAAACCTCAGTTCCCTGCCCTGGTTGGAAACCTCTACTTCATGGATACAAACTTAAACCCTAGATTCAGCCCAGGGAAGCCCAACTTTTCTTTGTCGTGAACTAACGACTGCAGGAATAGCAGCACTGTGATGAAAGCAGTGCCTCTGGAACCAGAGAGAACTGCAGCCACATCATGGCTTCTCCACTTCATACCTGCTCCATGGCTGTGCAAGTTACCAACCTTCTCTGGAAGATGAGAGTACAGAAAATCATCATCCAGGGTTGATGAGTAGATGAAACAATATAGGCGATGTCCTGAGCACAGGGCCTTAGACTTTTTTATAAAGAGTTTTACAGTCACTGTTGTTATTATTATTAGTCATCAGTTATAATCCATAGCTCTCCTGTTGAGAATGCTAGCTGGTATTATGACCATTAGGAAAATGGTTTACAAAAATTTCCTGTTCTTACCATCTTTGAACTCTGGAAATCAGGGAGAGGGGTGGATAAAGAGCGCCATCTCGTCGTGTATAAGAGTAGAGTGGGACAGATTCTCTTAACCTCACATGGAGGGATGTACAGTAATTGGTTCTGTTAGTTTCACTGTAGAACCATCACTCCACAATCAGTTGACGCTTACTTTGCTCCTGCTGTTTTCTCTACTCTGGGGTGAGGAGAGACAAAAATACTAGAGTTGGCAGCTCCTGTTCTCACAGGTCCTGCAGTTCCCGTGATGACCCACCTTGTGCCATCTGCCATCATGCTCTTGACATTTAGGTCCTGATACTAATTCTTAACTCCTTGGCCTCTCAGGAAATGCTGGTCACTGATAGAGGAGCGAGGCCGTCTCAAGAAACACGTTTTACATTTTATCTTTTAGCATGTCCTCGTTTTTCTTTTTTTTTGCCAGATCCCACGAGTTGCGCTCCAAGGTGGTTTCCCTGCAGCTGCTCCTCTCCGTGTTGCAGAATGCTGGCCCAGTCTTCAGGACACACGAGATGTTCATCAATGCAATCAAGCAATATCTCTGTGTGGCCTTGTCCAAAAATGGCGTCTCTTCAGTGCCTGACGTCTTTGAACTCTCTCTTGCCATATTTCTTACTCTTCTTTCAAACTTTAAGATGCACTTGAAAATGCAGATCGAGGTACAGACTTCAAATTTACTTTTTTTATTTGCTGACATTTAACCCAAATGAAGGGACAGTCAGATGGCCACCAAACACATGAAAAGATGCTCAACGCCATTAGCCATCAGAGAGATGTAAATCAGAACCACAATGAGATTCTATTTCACTCCCACTAGGATGCCTAAGATTTAAAAAAGAAAAAACGAAACAGAAACTAACAAATGTGGGGAAATGAGAACTCTTATCCGTTGCTGGTGGGAATGCAAAATGATATAGCCATTGTGGAAAACAGTGTGGCAGTCCCTCAAAATATTAAAAATAGAACTACCATACGACCCAGCAATTCCAGTCCTAAGTATATACCCCAAAGACTTGAAGGTAGAGACTCAGAGACTTGTACACTAGTGTTCATTGCACTACTATTCACAATAGCTAAAAGGTGGAGATGACCCAAATGCCCATCAACAGATAAATGGATAACCCAGATGAGGGAACTGCTGGTGTCACAGTCACCAGGAACCACAGTACCAGTCAACTTGCTGGCACCCCAAAGAGGAACTTTTTGAATGAGTGAAAGAAGAATACCTTTCAGAAAGAAATTACTGCCCCAAAGTCTTACATGTCTTTCATTATAACCAAAAGTTTAAATCTCATGGCCCAGGTGCTAGACTCAACACCCCAAACATGTTTGTTTGGTCTGTAAATCATTTGAAAGAATTTGAATTAGTTGCCAAATTGAGAAATCAGATGTTACATGAAAATCCAGATTTCTGGTTTCTCTAGAAAAATTAACAACACTGATCTTGCGTTTCCATATGACAATTCTTGGCCAGAGTTGAACGGCAGCTACTGCTCCCAGTGGGACTGGCATGCTCAAGTTCACCATGGCCCCACCCTCCTTGCTATTCCCACGCTGAGCCAGCTTCTGCACAGTCTACTTCACTTACTACAGGGTCTGCCTGTCCTCTAAAGCCTTGGAGGTTTTGAGACCTAACTTAGACTGTGTGTTAATTGGTGTCTTCCTTTGTTTTCATGTCGTATAGGTCTTTTTCAAAGAGATTTTCCTGAATATTTTAGAAACGTCCACAAGTTCCTTTGAGCACAGGTGGATGGTCATTCAGACTCTGACAAGGATCTGTGCAGGTATTTTCATCCTGAGCGTCCACCTCCATTTGACTTACTCAGAAAGGCTTGATCTGGGCTTTGGAAAATGAATGTATCAAAAGCATTTCCGAGCTAATTCTAACCTAATGAATGTCCCACCTCACCTTTCTACCCCATCCTTCTTTAGAGGATGGCCAACCCGGACTGGTTTGCCCAGGACTTTCCCGGCGTTAGCACTGAAAGTCCCACATCCTAGTAAACCAGGATACTTGGTCACCCTACCTACCAGCTGAATGCTGTTAGTCAGGCACAGGGTCTAAGATATTGATGTTACCAACTCTAGATTGGGTGCTAAGGTATATCCGGGTTTACCTTACACTGTACGATTGTGTGGTTATAAACTAAACATTTTACTTGTGTGTCATCAAATGTGATTTCGTAAGAGTTTTGCAACTTTAAGAGGGGATGAGGCCATTGTTATCCCCTTTTTCTGATGAGGGAAGTGAGCCTTGGTGAGGTGGAAGGCACCGCCTGAGGTTTCCATTAGAGTAGAAGCATCCTAAAAACAAGGCCTCCCAACTTGCAGTACTGCCCACCTGCATTTCCTGGTTGAGACCTGGCCTTTGGAGTTCACTGGTCACTGGGGAAAATTTTGAGCAGAGAGATCTCATATAAGAAGACACAGTTGCTCTTTATCTTTGAGCAGAATTTCTAATACTTGTGTGTTTTCTTCCAAGATGCCCAGTGTGTTGTGGATATTTATGTCAACTACGACTGTGATTTAAACGCTGCTAACATTTTTGAGCGCCTTGTAAATGATTTATCCAAAATCGCTCAGGGAAGAAGTGGACACGAGCTGGGAATGACACCTCTGCAGGTAAAACCCTGCAAACACTCATTTATATCTAAAGTTCATTTATTGCAACAAGCATTTATTGAGTGCTGCCATGTGCCAGTACTGTTTTTGGTTCTGGGGACACAGCGGTGAACAAAATACACACTCACACATACACACACATATAACACATTTCCTGCTTTCATGACATGTATGAGCAGACAATAAAGAGGTACGGTCTCAGATGCTGAGAAGTGCTGCAGAGGAGAATAAAGCAGGGAAGATAGAGGAGAAGTGCTGGAGGCAAGGGCATTGTACATTTTTACGAGGTCATCAGGGTGGTCTCCCTGAGAAGGTGATATTTAGCTGAGACCTGTAGGGAGTGAGTTTATTCTCAGCTGCCTTTCCAAAGATAATTTTTAAAACAGGATCCCAGTCCCCTGTATAGGCAAAGCATATAGCTATCGTGAGTACAGTACCTGCAGAGGGAACAGGATCCTTAACCTGAGGTCTCTGCACAGACTGTCAGAGGCCACAAACCCCCTAAAATTATGTGCAGAATTTGGGTGTGTGTGCATTTTTCCTGGAAGGCCCATATCTGTTGTCAAATTCAGAGAGATCTGTGTCACCTGAGATGCTGTGTTAGAAGTGCCTCGAGTCTAATCTATTTGCATTCTTAAAAGATTAACTATGACTCATATTCAACTGCTTATTTAAGAAACACTGTTTTTAAAAAATTACTTGTAGAGCAAGCCTTTAACTGGAATACATTTTGTGGGCCTTCAGGGGATACGATTGTGTCCAGAATCACTCATGTGCTGCGTCGTACAAGGTTCCTTTCTCATTTTTCAGAGTTACTGGTTAAGACTTTTTTTTGTCTTTTTAAGGGCAAGTGTTTTGTTTTTCTTAAGCACACAGCAATAAATGAAAACATTAAAAAAAAAAAAAAATCCAAATAACGTTATTCATTTAGGAACACACACATCCCAAGTTTCTAGTTTCTACTGCTGGGATGTTTGTAATCCACACTGTTAGAGGTATCTAGTATTTTTTGCAATGAGCCCTTATGACTTAGTCTCGTGTTAGCTTTTTCTTGAGTTTTCAGTGATTTTCTAGTGTCAGAGTTCCCTAAGAGCCCTGAAGGTGTCTGCATGTAAGTTACCTGCTAAGTCTCTGTGTCATGTCACTTTTGTCCTCTAGGAGCTCAGTCTGAGGAAGAAAGGCCTAGAATGCCTGGTGTCCATTCTCAAGTGCATGGTGGAGTGGAGCAAAGACCTGTATGTGAATCCCAACCACCAGACTAGCCTCGGTGAGAGAGCACAGTTGCCACCGCTGCCATCTCCATTCATGATCGGCTACTTGCAACTTTTGTCTCGGTGTAGTTGTGTCGTAACTATGCAAAACCTGAGTTTGCAGTCCCCTTATTGTATTTTAAAGGTTCTGCTTTATAATTCGTCTGGAGTTTTTGGGGGAATAGTTTGAAGTTGTATTCTAAACTTTATTTTTTTAACCTTTTTTAAAACTGTGGTAAATATATATATATAACAAAACATTTGCCATTTTAAACTTTGTTTTTCCAAATAGAGAACCAGTTGCTGCAACCTTATTTCAGTAGTCTCTCCTTCCCTCAGATTTCAAATACTACCTTTTTTATATACTAAACTTCCCTATGTACATACCGTATTTTTATGCAAATTATTTTCATAAGCGCCGCTATGCCCATTTTCTTCTATGTGTTGCTGTAAAAAAAATTAGCGTAGCAAGCTTACGAAAATACCTTGTGGGAGGAGGGAACTGTTGGCAAACAAATACAGAAGGTGTGCATTATTTGCGTAAAAATACTATTTTCTATTCTGGTCTATTGAGCTGTCTATTCTTGCAACAGTACCACATTTTTCAAATTTCTAGTTGTATAATAAGTTTTGATACCTCATAGGACAAATCCTCCTGTTCATTGTTCTTTTTAAATGACCCAAACTTTTACTCTTTCTTGTAACTTTTAGAAATAGCTTATCAAGGTCCATGAAAAACAGGTGTCTGAGTGACATCAAGGTTTCATGCTTATGATCCTGACAGTAAAAATTTTATTGTTATAGATCTGGAAGAGGGACCCACGAAGCCAGACCTGAGCTCAGCCTTGTTTGTGTCCCATCTGCTTATTTGGTTTCCTTTGCTTTTGTGTCATTGCAGGTCAGGAGAGGCTCCTAGATCAGGAAATGGGGGATGGGAAAGGCCTTGACATGGCGAGACGGAGCAGCGTGACGTCCACAGAGTCCACAGTATCCTCAGGGACCCAGACGACTGTCCAGGATGATCCAGAGCAGTTTGAGGTCATCAAGCAACAAAAGGAAATCATTGAACACGGCATTGAGCTGTGAGTGTGGCTGCTGCTCTGGCAGAATCTCCTGGGACGTGTGACAAAGCCTTGTCTTTTCTGGGAACCTGGGACTGACTCCTAACGGGAAAATTCCTGTTACAAAAGGCTAATGCTGGCACCTGTAGATGAGCTTAATTGCAACAGGGAGAGTGTAAGAGTGTGTGTGTGTGTGTGTGTGTGTGTGCATGCGTGCGCGCGCGTGCATGCAAGAAAGAGAGTTTAGTACCTTTGTGTTGTTGATGCCTGGCTTCCCCCCACCCCAATGGAAAACCAATTTAGAAAATACAGAAGAGTATAAAGCAAAAATGTAAAAATCACTCTTAACATTGCTACGTGGAGGAAATCCCTATTGGTAACAATTTTTTCCAGCTATATTTTATGAAAAATTTCAAGATACAGGAAAATTGTATGTGTTTTTTCTGAACCATTTGAAAGTAATTTGCAGACATTATGATACTTCAGCCCCACATCTTCGAAAAATAAAGACATTCTCCCATACAGCCACAGCATCATCAGCACACCATTGCTAAATCTTAATTGTGTTTCTTTCCAGTCTTTTACACAAATCCACACACAGTCTCATGTCCTGTCCAATTTTTGAATGATTGGTTAGCTTAGTAAATTCAGTTTATTTTAAAAGTAGAAGTTACAGTGTTCATTTGGTAATTGAAGTATTGACCTCTTCATTTCCACTTTCACCATCCCCACATCCCTCCAGTCTACTGTCCTCACAGCAGCTAATGTAATCTTCTCAAAACATTAATCAGGTCTTATCACTCCCCTGCCTAACATCATTCCAAGTTTCTTATGTCCTGCCTGATAAGCTTCTGGCCTTCTCACTGACCTCATCCCATGAGTCACACAATGCCTTTTCAGTCCCTTGAACACTTCAAACTCTGTTCACCTTTATGTCCTCTGCATGGAATGCTCTTGACTCTTTTTCATCCTTCAGGCTTGGCAAACCATCAGTTCCTCAAAGACACCTCATATAATCACGCTATCTAAACAGGTCCCTGAGTTATTCTCTGTCCTTGTACCCTATTTATTTCCTTCCTTCACAGCGCTTGCCGCAGTGTGTACTTATATATGAATGTGACTCTCCAGTGCAGAGCCTGGTAAAAAATAAGTGGAATTTATACGTTAGTTAGTTTTTGTCTGCCTCTAACAAAAAATACAAAATAACAGTGCTTAAACTCTGTATTTCTCTCTCAAGTGAAAGAAATCCAAACAGCCCAGGGCTCTTATGCTGGCTCTGTGGACATCAGGGATTCGGGCTCCTTTTATCTTTCTGCTTCACCATCCTTAGCACATGCTTTTCATCTTCAGGGTTGCCTCTTAGTCTAAACTGACTGCTGGAGCACCAGCCATCGCACATATATTCTTGGGAAGAAGAAGAGGAAAAGGGCAAAAAGATTGTACCTCCCAGCTAAGTCAGCTTTGTTTAAGGATCTTCCTAGAAGTCAGTAATGTCTCCCTTAAGCAAAGGGACTTACTCCCTTTTATTGTAGGTTCATATTCAACTTTATCACTTGGAAGAGGACTTTAATCTCATGGCCATACTTTGCCTAAAGGAGACAGGGAAATACAGTTTTTGTCTAGGTGCTTGTGTGCTCAGCTAAACATCTAGGGTTGTATTAGTATTGGGGAAGGGGAGAATAATATTCGGTATAGACTCTGCTATACTTGATTCAGAAATTGAAGCTGGAATTCAGAAAAGCTACCAGGACACAGAGGACTTCCCTAGCTGATATGTGGTGACTTGTTCATGGTGTTTTTTCTATTGTAATTTGCCTCACCTGCCAGCTTTTTCCATCCAGATTTTGAAATGAGCAACCTGCGTCCCATCTGTTGTTGAGACAGGTTCAACAAGAAGCCCAAGAGGGGGATCCAGTTTCTCCAGGAACAAGGCATGCTGGGAACATCAGTTGAAGACATTGCCCAATTTCTGCACCAGGAGGAGCGCCTAGATTCTGTAAGGCTGGGGGTTTGATACCTGTATGTGGGTTCCATCAGGTGATTATGACACCTCGCAAACTTTAAGCTAGAGATTGGCTAACCCTGAGAAAGGTGGCTATTGTCCAAACCCCTGATTATAGCAGTCCTACATATGCCTTTGCCAACGTTGCAGAAAGCTCTTTGATGGAAATAAACCAGCCTCCCGACAGGTTGTGGTGTAATTGGTGGAATAGTGTCAGAGCTATAAGTGTCCTTTGATGGCTGGAAACTCTTCTTCTGGCTGCCCATCTGCAACTAACCTCCCTCCTGAGTGTGCCATATCGTACCCTCCGTTTTGAGGGCTCTGTGCCTCCTCTGCCTTCATCCATGGCAGGACAGACTAGCCCAGGAATGGTTGGGTGGATGGCAGGCTCAGGGACTGCCTAGCTTTTCTAGCAGTCAAGCCTATTACTGGGCATTTAAGCCAGGGCATTCTGTTCCCCACTTTGGCTGAAGTGACTTTGGCTGTAGGTTCATATTCAGTGATTTCTAGGTGTGAGTGAGTATGTATGTTTCAGACCCAAGTAGGTGAATTTCTGGGAGACAGCGTGAGGTTCAACAAGGAGGTGATGTATGCCTATGTGGACCAACTCGACTTCTGCGAAAAGGAATTTGTCTCAGCCCTGCGGGCGTTCCTAGAAGGTTTCCGCCTACCCGGGGAGGCGCAGAAGATTGATCGGTTAATGGAGAAGTTTGCTGCAAGATACATAGAGTGCAACCAGGGGTGAGCACTGTGTTGAAGTCCCTTCCGCATCAGATATATTTTTGCCTACCTCAGAGCGCCAGTCTTAGTTTGTTTGGGGGATGGGTTTGCTCTTTCTAAATCTGTGTCAAGCAGCTGAAGTTTCTGTTTACCATGTGCCAGGCACTGTGCTAAGGAATTATCTCATTTAAGCCTCACAGCAGCCCTGCTGTCTGTCCCCATACTACAGGCAAGGAAACTGAGCACCGGAGAGGTTAAGTAACTTGCCCAGGATCATACAATTAAGAGTCCACGCTGCTGACTACTAGGCAGTCAGGCACCTCTTTCCTAATCAAGAGCAGCTCCCTGATTTAATATACATGGGAGATCGTAAGAATTTAGGTTTTTCTCTGACTACACACTGATGAGCAGGTTACATAGATGGCTGCATAACTAACAAAAACCACCTAAGTGTGTGACTTCATCTTGGGACCTTGTTTGGTGGGTGCTTCATGTTTTTGTATGAAACGGGAATAGAAAAGGGAGTTACTTTCTTAAACACCTCCTGTGGGTCAGCCATGCAGTGGGCTTTACATGCATTATTTATCTAATGGTGACCCTGGGTGACAGAAGAGAAAACTGAGGCTCTAGGAGATTAAACAATTTGTCCAAAAGTCAATCAACTAGTAGGCAGCAGAGACAAGATTGAATGTGAATTTGTCTCACTCAAAAGCTCATGCCTTTTCCACTGAGACTGAAGTTTAAAATGCCTGAATATACTATGAACAAGATTTGGAAACTGCTCAATGGAAACATTTTTGCCTCTTAAGTCACCTTGGTTTCCATACTAATTGGTCCCAGTAGGACCAGTGGGGGGCAAGCTGTCCCCATGAGGCAGCATGGTCAGCAAAGGCAGCATCTGGTCATTTTAACCATATGGACATTAGAATTCACTAGGAAGACACATATAGATGTTACTTACCTTAAATATATCTCCTTTGTGGACTTGGAGACTTTGGTGTTTTCCTTTATCAGTAAACACGTGACCCAATTAAATTTCATATTCGAATGTAGACCTTCTGTTGTATTCATCAAAACTCCTCCCTTTCCTGTTGGGGGCAATTTGCACAGACAAGTTTTTCTCGCTTCAGCCTCACATTTTATGAGGCTATGCGTTCAGAGTTGGGGTTTTTTTCCTTCTTTTCTTGCCCAAGGCAAAAAAACGTCAGACTTCGCTGGCATTTTATTTAGGACAACATAAATATTTTCCTTTGTATTTCTACTGTTAAATATTATGATGGATAATGAAGCTATAAATAACTAAAAAACAGTTAAGGGGCCCTGGTGGTGCAAACGGTTAAGCACTTGGCTGCAAACCGAAAGGTTGGCAGCTAGAACCCACCCAGCAGCTCCTCGGGAGAAAGAGCTGGTGGTCTGCTCCCATAAAGATTACAGCCTGGAAAACTGTGGGGCAGTTGGAGCAGTTCGGTTCTGTCACGTGGTGTGGCCATGAGTGGGAGTCGACTTGACAGCACCTAACAACAAAACAACAGTTTTAGTTAACTTTGTATCCAGAGCCTCGCACTACACGTGGCACAAGATAGATGCTCCCAGGGACAGGACTAGAGTGAGGCAGGCAAGGCACCTTGGGTGCAGATGTAAGGAGGCCTCACTCTCAGCGTGGTGCTAGTACAGGGCCGGCCCCTGAGAGAGGGCCTCCTTGAGTTGTGGGCCTGGATGCCTCGCTTGTCTGACTCAGACCCCTTGTCTCACCCTAGTCTCGACCCAGGATGTTCCTTACAGGCCTTTTTTTTAAAAAAAAATTAACTTGAAACTACTTTATCTAAAGAAACCTAGGACCTGACACATTCTTAACGAGCTTTTCACTTTCTTGGTCAGTAATTGATGTTGGGTGGTGATGAAAGCGTGGACGCTCTTGACTAATTTGGCCTCCCGTGGAGCAGTCAGCCTGCATTCAGTGAAGTTTGTCTTCGTTAGCATTGTATCTCCATCGTTGTTCTTTACATCTGGAATCTTTTCTTCCAGGCAAACTCTGTTCGCTAGTGCTGATACTGCGTATGTCCTAGCATACTCAATTATCATGCTTACTACAGACTTGCACAGTCCTCAGGTAAAATATTTTAATGATTTGTATATTGTAGTAGCTAAGTAAATAGCTTTACTTGGGCCATTGAATGTTTTTATAAAAATGGTTTTTAATTTTTTTTTAATTTCAGGTAAAAAATAAAATGACAAAAGAGCAGTATATTAAAATGAATCGGGGTATCAATGATAGTAAAGATCTACCAGAAGAATATCTCTCGAGCATCTATGAGGAGATAGAAGGCAAGAAAATTGCAATGAAAGAAACAAAAGAGCATACGATTGCAACCAAATCTACTAAGCAGAGTAAGGTCTAATGAAAATTCTATTAATTCCAATTTCCCAGTGTATTGGAATGCATGATTAAGTATCCTGATGATAAATTTAATTTACATGTCCAGATATCTTACTAGGAAATGTGATTAAATTAATTATTGTGGTTATGCTAGTTCTTTCATAGTATTACCATCTTCTTGCTAGATTTTTGATTAGGACCAAGAGGGAATTTAAAGTAAGTAATTTGAGAACTAAATTACAAAAAGAAAAAAAGTTCCTTAAAACTTTGCTATAATTCCGGTGGTGATTGTGCCAGGCTTGATTAAAATTCTGTTAGTTAAGCCCCCTGTGAAGCTATCCATTTCTTTATTTGAGAGACAGCAGAGTATTCTGGTTTATAGTCAGGCTCTGGAGCTGCACTGCCTGGGTTCAGGTTTCAGCTCTTGTATTTATTAGCTGTGTGACCCTGGTTAAGTTACTTAACCTCTCGGTGCCTCCTTTGCCCCGTCTGTAAAATGGTAATAACACTAGTACCAGCTACCTGAGGTGACTGGGAGAATTTCTGAGTTAATCGCTGTAAGCCTTTGGGGACAGGGCCTGGCACGTAGCCAGCACTCGGTGAGGGGTAGCTGCTGTTGTCATGTCTTGTTTCTTTGTAGACGTAGCTAGTGAAAAGCAACGACGACTACTGTACAACTTGGAGATGGAGCAGATGGCGAAAACAGCCAAAGCTCTGATGGAGGCCGTGAGCCACGCCAAAGCCCCATTTACAAGTGCCACTCACTTGGACCACGTCCGGCCAATGTTCAAAGTGAGTATCCTGAGAAGTTAGCGGGGCTTGATGCTGGAGGTGAGCAGCAGGCAGCCGTGCAGGGATTTTGTCCCGGTGAAGAGGTTGAGGAGAGGCAAGGCCAGATTTTGGTGCTTCTCTCTGAACGTAACTAAAGTGAGTCCTTCACAGACGCCCTTTGATGATGCCAGGGAAGCACCAGCACTGGCCAAGAGCATGGACTTGGCGTTAGAAGGTCTGGATTTGATTCCTTCCTTTGCCGCTGGGTAGCTGTGTGACCTCAACTTCTCCATCACCCGTAAAATGGGGACAAATACAAGGTTGCTGTGAGGACTGCTAGGAGGATTGAATGAATTAGTAATTATTCAGACAAAAGATAAAGAGATGCTTTTATGGAGACATCTCACCTCAGTGGCCTCAGGGTTAGTTTATCAGATGAGATTAAGTGGAAAAGTAAGACAATATCCTTGAGGTCTCTCTCTATTTTAAAAATGTCTAAAAAAGATACATCTTCAGTATTCATTTGGGTGATCAACTCTAGATGTTCGTGAGCTTTTATTTCCAGGGAATTCACAAGAAGGTTGAAGAAAAGTAAAGTCTAAGCAGTTTGAAGTCGAGACCTTTCAATAAACTAAGTTCATAGAACAGACATTGTTTATAGGTTTTATTTTGCATGCCAGCCTCTGATTGGTAATGGCTGCCTGGTGCACTATGTAAAGAAGGATTTTAAGCCCTATATAGAGTCAGCAGGGAATGGGGTCTGTGAGTGATTAGTGATGTCTGCCATGGACACAGGTATGTGTAATAGTGGCACACTAGCCACGTAGTTACCATCCTTCATTTTGAGCTGTATAATTAGTAAATAACACATTTATAGCGATAACTTGACCACAATTTATGAGGAACTATTTTATATGGTAAATGGATTGAAATCAAAATAGCAGTGAACTGGCCGCTAAGTACTCGTCCCATGCTAAAATTTTGGTTGCTGTTGAAACCTTCCTTCCTTGTTAGCTGGTATGGACACCACTTCTGGCAGCCTACAGCATCGGGCTACAGAACTGTGACGACACTGAAGTTGCCTCCCTGTGTTTGGAAGGCATCCGCTGTGCAATCCGAATCGCCTGCATCTTTGGAATGCAGGTGGGTATACGTTGACAAGGCTCCAGAGATGCTGCTGGGCTGTTTTTTTAGATTTGGCCAAACTTAGAAACTCTCAGAAGTTTCCAGGTAGCCAAAAGTCTCAGCAAACTACTTACTCATACCCACTGAGGAGAAATCCATAGGTTTGTGCTGGCCACAGCCTCATTCAAGGAAAAGGTTGGAGATTTGGATTAAAGCCTTTAAGGTTAGGTTAAGAGTCCAAGCTACTTGACTGGATGTGACAAAATAGCCTTCCTATCCATCTGCCCAACTTGCCTGCCTTGGTGCTTAAAGTATGGATTTTTTTTTAAGGATCAGTTTTGATTATAGTTTCCCTTTTTCCTAATTCTCCTCTGGGGAAACATAATTTAATGCAAATGTTTGTCTGTAAACCTTTTGAATCTTGAAAATTTTGAGAAAATAAACAAAATACAATTCTCAAACTGTTATGAAATCTGGAGGTTTCAATCCCTTGCATCACTTTCTAAATTAGTAAGGATTTGCACTCATTTATTTTGAAAAACTCGGTCTTCTGTTTCCATTCATTTTAGTTAGACATTTTCTTCTGTACCAGAACCACAGCTCTGCTCCTTCCTAACCACGTGACATTGGCCCAGCTAACATCTCTCTGAGACAACATTTGTTTCCTCATTTGTAGACTTGGGAAGACAGACCTCCCTTGCAGGATTGTTGTAGATATTCAAATTTATGTGATGTGCTTAGCATCTAAGAGCTTCCTCTGCTCCTCCCCAGGGAATGGAACATGGGACAAATGAGTTTGATTGCAGTCTCTTGGAAAGGACAGCATTAGTTCTCAGACATGGTGGTGCACAGGAATCCTTGGTGGGATGTTCCAGTAGCAGGAGGACACCAGCCTGTAATAACCACGAGCCCTGGTGGCACAGTGGTTAAACACTTGGCTGCTAACTGAAAGGCTGGCAGTTCAAACCCACCAGCTACTCCGTGGGAAAAAGATGTGGCAGTCTGCTTTGGTAAACATTACAGCCTTGGAAACCCTAGGGGGCAGTTCTACTCTGTCGTATAGGGTCACTATGAGTTGGAATCGACTCGACGGCAGTGGGTTTGGTTTCGTGTGTATAAAGCCTGTTGATGTGTACAGAAGTGTCCAAGAAGCCCAGTGCATCAGTCCCATAGATGCGAAAAAAGTCATGCTAAGGGTGGAATCACAGTGTTCTCTCTTGGGCTTCCGTTACAGCTGGAACGAGATGCCTATGTTCAGGCTCTTGCTCGCTTCTCCCTGCTGACAGCCAGCTCCAGCATCACAGAAATGAAGCAGAAAAACATCGACACCATAAAGACACTTATTACAGTGGCTCACACCGATGGCAATTACCTTGGGAATTCCTGGCATGAGGTGTGTGTCTCATTGAAAGCCTGATAATTGCCTTTTCTTATCTGGAGGAACGTATGGGTTAAAAGATTCTTAAAAGAAAAAAGGTGTTAGGAAAACCATTTAATGCTGTGAGAAGATGTAAAACGGTGTGGGAGAGGTGTCTGACCTCCTCCAACCCCACAAGGGGGAAGGAGAACCAAGATCAACAGCCTAAAGGCTGATTCCTATGAGGTGGAAGTCACACATGCCTCCTCTCTCTGCCATCTCTACAAATTCTGACACCAACTGTCCCTCCCACAGCACCCTCTACTGGGTTCAATAATTCATTGCAGCAGCCACACAACTCACAGACCATACTTAACAATTATGGAGTTTATTAGAGAAGTAACAGTTACAGTTCAGGCTCAAGAACACTCAGAATACAGTTCTTCCATCAGGTTAGCCTCTCCCCAGCTGTGCTCACAGGCACACCTCTCCCTGGCCCTCGGTCTCTGCCCAAAGGCACTCAGCTTTCTCTCTCCATGGGCCAGGAAGCCCACCACGCCAGAGCTCTCCTTTCTTGGTGGTGGTGGTGGGCTCCTCCTCCCCGCTCTGGAATTGGCTCTCTTTTAAGGCAAAACTGATGAATCCCCTTGGTAGGCCGCAATTACCTATCACACAGTCACCTGGTGGGAATTATAAGCCCATGGATAGAAAGGCCTCCCACAAAAGTAATTGATCGCACCACAGATGATAATCACAGTTTATTAAAAAGTTGTTGTAAAACATTGTAAGGCACGGTCCCTTGTGCCAGACAAATACAGAGAATAAAGTTTGAGAAGATAAACCAAAATGTTAACATCCTATCTTAGGGATAGAATTATGGAGACTATTTTTATTTTGAAAACCCTATTGAGTAGTTCTATTCTGCATATGTAGGGTCACCATGAGTCAGAATCGACTTGACAGCAACAGACTGTGACAATTTTTATTTTCTTTTTCTTAAATCATGTTCTAATTTTTCTTCTGTGTGTATTACCTTTTTTTTTCCATAATTTTTTATGGTACATTGGGTCAAAGTTTACAGAGCAAATTAGTTTCCCATTGGATAGTTGGTGCATGAAGTGTTCCATGACGTTAGTTTCATTCCCCTCAGTGTGTCAGCACTCTGCCATTACCATCCTAGGTTCCGTTTCCTTTCGTCCTAAACCTTCTCATCTTTGCTTTTGGGCATCTTGTGCCCTTTTGATCTTATTTGATTGTTCTGAGGAGCATGTTCCTCTTGGGTGTTATTGTTTATTTGGGGGGACTGTCTATTGTTTGGCTGAAAGGTAGTCTCCAGGAATGACTTCAGTTCCAGTTCAGAAGGGTGTCCTAGGGTCATCATCTCAGAGGTTCCTCTGTCAGACCAGTAAGTCTGGTCTTTTTTGTGAATTTGAGTTTTTGTTTTACAGTTCTTCTCCTGTTTTGTCCAGTACCCTCTGTTGTGATCCTAGTCAGTGTGGTCAGTAGTGGTAGCTGGGCACCGTCTAGTTCTTCTGGTCTCGGGGTCATATAGGCTGTGGTTCATGTGGTCCATTAGTCCTTTGGACTAATTGCTTCCTTGAGTCTTTGATTTTCATCACTCTCCTTTGCTCTGAACAGTAGGAGACCAATAGTTGTATCTTAGATGACTGCTTGCAAGCTCTTAAGACTGCAGAGGCTACTCACCAAAGTAGAATGCAGAACTTTGTCTTTATGAACTGTGTTGTGCCAGTTGACGTAGCTATCCCCCGAGTCTGTGGTGCTTCACCTCGTATGTATTGCTTTTTATTTAGAGAGAAAACTATGAAATAATAGAGATAAGACCATGGAGAGTAGTTAGGACTGTGATGACCGAGAAAGAAAATTGTTTTCAACCTTTAAACCTCCCACACCCGGGTCTAATTAGTTAAGGGAAACCAGCTCTGGAGCATGGAGGCATGGTGGTGGAATCCTTGCTCCATTCAAATACTGGTTCTCTCTTTATTGAGCACTTAATTAGATTTGCTTAATTAAACATCTATAGGGCATAACTCCATTGTACCAACTCTTTTTTTCTTTTTATTTTTTTCCAAGTTTTTTTCTGCTAATTTTCTCAGTCTGCTTTCAAGACCCATTCAAGACTCTCTAGCCAGGACCCTTGCTACCCCTTGGCCAGTTGTTCTGTCCTCTAGGGAAGCCATCTGAAGACCCCAAATTTTATTCTCGCCTTGAAACGATACTTATTTGAAAACACTCTTTAATGACTGTAACTTAAGATGACAGTGTCCTTTTGTAAGCTGTGAAGCAGGAACTCATTTCTTCTTGCCTTCGTTTCATTAGATCTTGAAATGCATCAGCCAGCTGGAGCTCGCTCAGCTAATAGGAACTGGTGTGAAGACCCGCTACCTGTCTGGGTCTGGGCGTGAAAGAGAAGGGAGCCTGAAGGGCCACACGTTGGTGGGAGAAGAGTTCATGGGCCTTGGTCTCGGTAAGATGCTAGCCCCACGGCTGGTGGTCATGGATTCACAAGTTAACCAGCTTGTCAGGACTGTCACATAAACTGTCTCTTCCTTAGGTGCAGCTAACAGTATGTTTATTGCTGGAAGTGCTGCTTCAGCTCTCTTAATTGCGTTCAGCTGTTGAGTAAAATGCCTAGCTTACAGAAGTCAGGGTGCGTCACTTTTCTTTCTGTATAGATAACTATATTGGTGGGGGAGGCATTTGCTTTAGAAAGGGTACAGCTTTAGCGCCTGGTATTAGAGGGCTGTATACCTGTATTTCTGGAATTCGTCATTTCTTCCATGTTCATTTGGAGGGCTTTTATTAAAGGGTATTCTTACCATGCAGGCAGAATTATTTCATGCTATAAATTGGATTGAGAGACTCTCCTGTCAGTGATGTAAAAGCAATGTAATAAAATAATGATAATCAAAAGGACAAACAAACGTGTAGGCCACATTCAAAGCACTCACTTTATATATTTAACTCGTTTAATCCTCGTAACACCCCAGTGAGATGGAGACTTGTTGTGTGCCATCAAGTCAACTCTGACTCATAGCGACCGTATAGGACTGAGTAGAACTGCCCCGTAGGATTTCCAAGGCTTTAATCTTTATGGAGCAGATTGCTAGGTCTTCTCCTGTGGAGCTGCTGGTAGGTTCAAACCGCCAACCTTTCAGTTAACAGCTGAGCACTTAACCACTGCACCACCAGAGCTCCTTAGGGACTATTACCATCTCAGTTTTTGTATATGAGGAAACGGAGGCACGTGGGGGTGAAGTGACTTGAGCACAAGGTCACACTGCAAGGAAGTGGCAGAGGCAGATGCAGGATTAAATCCAGGACATCGGATTGCAGAGAGTAGGCTCCTAGGCCCCATACACAGTGGTTAGAATAGTACAATGTAATGATGAAAAGCGTGGACTCTGAAAATGGGGGTTTGTAATAGCACCTACTTTTTAGGGTGGTTGTGAGGATAAACGGAATGAAATCCTGTAAAGAACACAGAGCGTTCAGCAGGTATAAATATTACATGTTCTGGGGGCTCTGATTAGTATCAGTTGGTTCTAATTAGTTTTCCTAATACCAGCACTTAATACTATAAAAATGTAAAAGACAACACCTATTCCTCACTTATTGACTATCTTGTTATCCGACATTTCGCATTTATGACAACAGTAAAAAATCTATTATCCAACTATTTTGCATATTAATGAGGCAGCAGGCATGGCAACAATGGCTGCAGAGCATCCCCTCCCTCGAGGAGGGTCTCCGAGTGGCCTCCAGCTAGCTGGGCTGCGCTGCCCTGAGCCCTTCGCTCCCTCCTGCCTGCAGGGCACTTTGTCCAGCTGCCACATGGGGCTGGCCTCCTCCGTGGCCACGTCCTCTGGGCCCACTCAGGCAGCCATCAGGCCAGCAGACGCCTGTTCTGGGTCCCCGGCTCCTGTGCAGCCTAAGGCCCTGCAGCTCAAAATTAATTGGCTGGTGGGAAGGGTGGAAAGAAAGAAGCATTGGAGAGGGTGTTTGAAAGAACTGCATGTGACTTTAATGTCATCCCAAAGTGAGCTGAACTGGGCCCAAAGCCTCCACCTTGGTGGGGCCGGTTGCTCGGCTAGGTTCCCAGCGTCCTCGCAGGAAACCCTGAGCCTCAGTGACTTGCCAGGCCAGGAGGGCAAGCAGACTCTGGGATCGTGAACCCAGGGCTTGCAGGGGTGGGAGCGGAGCCCTGGAGGCGGCTCTGCGAGGGAAGCTCTGAGGAAGAAGGTGAAGTGGTTAAGCCGTGGGCCCTCCAGTCATACCAGCCCAGCTTTATGCATCTTTATCTCCTCTAATCCTCCTTCTCCCCAGAGAAATAATCTATAACTGACTTAACACAGTGATGAGCATATCAGTCAATCTTAGCTGACAAACTGATGGTCTGAAAACAGGAAGAAAAAAAGTCCTCTATTTTCACGTAACGCCGGTTTTCACACACCAGCCTAGTCCGTAGAACCTAACCATGTCAATAAGTGAGGAGTGAGTGGATAGAGAAAGGGCAGTGGTTGGTACACGCAGGGGGCTTGTAATAGGGATGCTGATTTTCACTGTCTAATGCCAGGACATAAGTTTAACTTTATTCTGCCATCAGTTGGGTTTTTTTGGCCTGTGGAACCATTCTCTCTGCACATTTGGTACCATAGGGTACTTTGTTCTACGTACTTGACTGTGTTGTAAGCATTACCTATGTTGTGCGTTGTGTTTCAGGTAATTTGGTGAGCGGTGGAGTGGATAAAAGACAGATGGCCAGCTTCCAGGAATCGGTCGGTGAGACCAGTTCACAGAGCGTGGTCGTAGCTGTGGACAGGTAATGAAATTTTGTCCTCCTGTGAGGCTGGACTACCCAGTGGCTTGGCGTCCTCTGTGTAGTAACCAGATGTGAATGATACATAATTTGTTTGACTGTTACGAGTATTATCAGCTTCAGGTTGCTCAAGCTAAAAAAAATTAAAAGTGGTGCGAATGATCTACAACTACTAATAACCTCCACATACATTTGAATTTTGACTTTGAATTGCATTGTGAACTTTTAAAAAACTGTAACTTCAACATTGTGACAAATCGTATCACGAACAAGGTTTCCCTCATGCTGATGTTTTAAATTGCCTTGTTTCCTTCACAGAAATTACTTTTTTAAAAAATATTTCAAGAAGAGTTTAGGATTTAAAACCTGCTCATGAGTGAAAGTTGGCAGAGTTGACAGTTTCCATTTCTTTCTCCTCAGAACCTTTCTGTTCGTTCTGTTTTCTTAGAACTTGAATGTAAAACCCAGGAGAAATGCAGATATGCTCATTTCAAGGCATTTACTAGATACCAGTGCGTAAAATGTGAATTTTCTTTAAAATCGAGAAATTCTTGAAAATTGTTATTGAACAGCCATGTAGACCTCTGTTTGTTGTTTAATGACTTATCCCAGGTCTAAATGAAATACAGACAATTTGAGGACGTCGTTGTCAGGTGCGGTCGAGTTGGTTCTGAGCCTCCAGCCTCTGGCTGTTGGTCTCGCCCTCTGGGATGGCTGCTCGGCTCCCTGGGCCTTTGTTGTTGTTGTTGTCGTTAGGTGCCATCAAGTCAGTTCTGACTCACAGTGACCCTGTGAACCACAGAACGAAACACTGCCTGGTCCTGCGCCATGCTCATAATCATTGTTATGCTTGAGCCCATTGTTGCAGCCACTGTGTTAATCCATCTCGTTGAGGATCTTCCTCTTTTTCGCTGACCCTGTACTTTACCAAGCATGATGTCCTTCTCCAGGGACTGATCCCTCCTGACAACATGTCCAAAGATTATAAGACGTAGTCTCGCCATCCTTTCTTCTAAGGAGCATTCTGGTTGTGCTTCTTCCAAGACAGACTTGTTCATTCTGTTGGAAGTCCATGGTGTATTCAGTGTCCTCCACCAACACCACAACTCAGAGGACTCAATTCTTCGGTCTTCCTTATTCTTGTCCAACTTTTGTGTGCGTATGAGGCGATTGAAAATACATTAGCAGTACGGAATTGTTGACACAACTCATGCATAGTGCTGTCAGAACAATTCTGTTAGTGTTTTAAATTCTTGATCTGCTTATTTTGAATACCTTACACCTGTTGCTTCTCTTTTCTCTTCAAGATATTGTCTGTAGTGAATTTACTTTTGACAGGCTTTTCCTACTTTTTCCAGCTTGGTTTATACTTACAGAACAAGATGTTCATTTTTCCATTACCCACACATTTCTTTTTTCTTTCTCTGCCTTTGCCAGGTAGTAGACATTAGAAAAGGAGCCCTGGTGGCGCAGTGGTTAACTGCTCAGCTGCTAACCGAAAGGTTGGCGGTTTGAACTCACCCAGTGGCTGCACAGGAGAAAGACCTGACAATCTGCTTCCATAAAGACTACACCCAAGAAAACCCTGTGGGGAAGTTCTGTTCCATCACATGTGGTCGTTATGAGTTGAAATCGACTCGATGGCATCTGACAACAACAGACGTTAGAAATCTTGGCCAGCACCCTTTTGTGTGCTATTGCATTTCTTTTTAATGAACATAATTCACATATCATAAGAGCGGTTGTTTGGAGGTCCCCACTCTCTCATTCCCTCTGACGTCGCTTGATAGTACATTTTAACTCTCAGCCCCTTTGATATGTCTCTTTCTTTTTATCTGTGTAGGCGTTTCTGCCGTCAGCTCAGTTCATCAGCCAGTTCTATACTTGTGATGCTTTGTTGTTTCTTTTCTTAAGAAATGTTTCCTTTCTCCCTTTTCAGAGTTTTTGAGAATGAAGCTTCATCTTCCAAATCTAACTTTTATTTTATTATGTCTCAATTGTCTTTCTAGAATTTTTACTGGCTCTACCAGACTGGATGGAAATGCAATCGGTATGTATTTGACTCACCTGTGACAGCTACCGCTGCCTTCATGGTGTGACTGACCATTACTGACGAGGCCTCCTGTGTGTTGTTGCATCTGGCCTGCAGTTGACTTTGTCCGCTGGCTGTGTGCCGTGTCCATGGACGAGCTGGCTTCCCCCCACCACCCTCGCATGTTCAGCTTGCAGAAGATTGTGGAGATATCATACTACAACATGAATCGGATCCGGCTGCAGTGGTCCCGAATATGGCATGTGATTGGAGATCACTTTAATAAGGTAACACTGCAAACTCAAAAACCACTCCATCTGTGTCCCCCACCCCCATCCCCCCAAAAATGCAGGCAACTAAATTCAAAAAGCAGTGATAAAGCGTTTTAAAGAGTTGACCCTGTGTTTTAGGTGCCTGTCGTTCGTTTCCCTGTGGAGTCGAGGACAGCTCAATGGAAGTAACAGCTAGAACAGAGATCACTCATTTATTTCACAAGATCTTTTGGCTAACAGCTGTGGAACCTTCTGTTCTCTTAAAAATGATTATCCAAAAAGTATTTTGGTAAACATTTTCTCAACTCTTAAAAAGTCTAGATTTTTTGTTCATTGGGACTTCTTTCCGGGGGCGGAACATCAGTTTATACAAGTTACTTTTCCCATCTGTGATTCTGTTGTCAAGACTCTAGATGCCAATTCTCAGTTGATCTATGGGCCGCTTACGGGCAAGCTTGGGACGTAGGCTGGCGGGTAGTAGTAATTAGACATTCCATGGTTGCCACCTTCATTACAAATGTTTGCTCAGTCTACTCGGTGCTGTTGAGCACAGCGTCTGGAAAACTCAGTTACTCACTCTGGGGCTCTTCACTCGTTCCTTCTACCACCTGGGAAAAGTGTTGTGCTTCCCCTTGTGAACTGGAGCGCATGAGCATCTCGTGGGTTTGAAGACATGGTAGATGGCTGAGTATAGCTGTCACTTAGCTCTCAGCAGTCTAGCAGGGTCATTTAAATAGTCAGTGGTCCTCTTCTAAACCGGGCACATGTAGGGTCCTGGCAGGAGGGGTGGGCGGGTAGGATGCAAAGCTGCATGATAAGTATGGTCCGTATTCCTGAAGCATCTGTTTCACCTGGATTTTTAGAATGGAAATACTCTTTTTATTAGTCTCTAATCATGTGAACATTACTTGAATACATTCACATTGTTAAAGAAAAAATTACAGCAAAAACACCTTTGACCACCCCAACCTGGTTCCTCCCAAAGCTAATTATTCTTATCAGTTTGATGTATATCTTCCTGACATTTTTCTAGGCGCTTTTATGTACTCAGAAATATAGGTATTATTGTCTTGATTTGTTCTGCATTTTTAAAAAAAAACATAAATAGTATTCTACATATTTTGTAACTTGCTTTGTTCACTTAGCAAGGAATTGTGAAGATTTAGCCATGTTGGTGTATGTAGATTTACTGTTTCTTTTTAACTGCCAAATAGTATTATGTATATGAATGTATTTTTATGTAGCCATTTTCCTATTGATGTTCCCAGTTTTTCTCTATTGCAAATGATATTACTGAGTTATTTTTCTTAAATACAAGATGTTTTCAGGTCAGATCACACAGCAATGAAATTTCTCACTTGGACCAGGCCACTATAAGACATCCCGAGATCCCTTGGCTGGTGCTGGTGGGAAACATTCCCTCTGCTCTGCTTTTAAGGATTCTTCTTGAGGGAAAAGTGTGAGAAGCACCAACCTAATACATACCAATAACTCCAGTTCCTTAAAGTAGATAAACCACGTTGATGTTGTTGGATGTTGTCGAGTCAATTTTTGACTTATAGTGACCCCATGTGACAGAGTAGAACTGCCCAATAGGGTTTTCTTGGCCGTAATCTTTACAGGAGCAGATCACCAGGTCTTTCTTCCATGGAGCGGCTGGGTGGGTTTGAACCGCCAACCTTTTGGTTAGCAGCCAAGCAGTTAACCATTGCGCACCAGGGCTCCTTAGATAAACCATAGACAAGTACAGTTTTCAAGGAAATTGAGAAGCCTCAATATTTCTGATGAGTTTTTTGAGGCTGATGATATTCATTTACAATCATTTGCTTTAGGTGGCAGACATGGGCAAATATAAAAAGGCTTTGCATTGACTATCAGGTCTTTTGACTCCCTCATGTAGGTTTGGATAAAATTAAATAGCAGTTTTTAGAGCACTAGATCAAATGTGCAATGTAGAGCTTTTGTCATTATGCTTAAACAAAATCAGACAGGTCATAGCCAAGAAATACCACTTTCTTTTCTCCTTGGATGAATTTTCCCAGAGTATTTGTTTTGAAGGTCGGCTGCTCATTTTTGACGTTCAGAACCCCAGATCCACCAGAGTTAGACTGTGCCTGTTTGACTGCACTTCTTCTCCTGGTCAGGTTGGCTGTAACCCCAATGAAGACGTGGCTGTCTTTGCTGTTGACTCATTAAGACAACTTTCCATGAAGTTTCTTGAGAAGGGAGAATTAGCCAACTTCCGTTTCCAGAAGGATTTTCTGAGACCCTTTGAGCATATTATGAAGAAAAACAGGTATGTACTTTGTTCTGGAAGACTCTGGTCAGGGTCCCCTTTGGGAATATAAAATGTCCTCCTAACACTAACCACACAACTTTTTCCTCCCTTGTTGGTGGAAGCAGATAGAATGAACAGATTGTGACTCACATCTGTTGTCCTTAAGATCTGTGTGTAGCCCATCCCATAAGGAGCGATTACACCATTGCAGTTAGTAGAAACATGTCGTGCGTCTTTGCTGGTGCTGGGGAGATTGAAGAGGGAGTCACTGCTGAAGCAGCCTCAGACACGTCAATAATTATGTGACCTGCAAGCGCTATGACAGGGGTCACAGTAGAGGGTCCCCGACAGAGCAGGAGAAAAATGTAGAACAAAATTCAAATTCACAAAAAGAGACCAGACTTACTGGTCTGACAGAGACTAGAGGAACCCCCGAGACTATGGCCCCCGGACACCTTGCTAACTCAGAACTGAAGCCACTCCTGCAGTCCACCTTTCAGCCAAAGATTAGACAGGCCTATAAAACAAACAATAACACATGTGAGGAACGTGCTTCTTAGTTCAGTTAAGTATACAAGACCAAACGGGCAACACCTGCCCAAGAGCAAAGATGAGAAGGCAGGAAGGGACAAGAAAAGTGGACGAATGGACACGGAGAACCCAGGGTAGAAAGAGAAAGGGGGAGAGCGCTGACACATTGTGGGGATTGCAACCGATGTCACAAAAACAATTTGTATATAAATTTTTGAATGAGAAAGTAATCTGCACTAAATTGACCTAAAGCACAATAAAATTAAAAAAAAGAAAAAGAATTATGTGACCAACTATTTCTGCTCCAGAGAAATGATAAAAGACGTTAGGACATCTCTCCCTCCGAAGCCTACTTATTGAGGCGTGCCATCTGCTAGGTTGTATTCTAAATACTGAGAATACAGAATAAAGAAAATATTCAGAAATCCCTGTTTAGGCTGGGCCCTGGATTGATAATCGTTGCAGCTGGGTGGTGGATATATGGTAGTTCATTATACAATCCTCTCTACTTTTTTATACTGGTATGTTTGAAATTTTTCATGATAAAATGAAAAAATAAATATCTGTTTATATTCTGCTGGGGTAGATAAATAAACTCTTTGGTGAATCAATAGGTGATAAGTGCTCTGAAGAAAAGTAAATCAAAATAAGGAGATGGGGTGGAACTGCTCCTTTATATAAACCAGAATACCAAACTCGTTGCCATCGAGTTGATTCTGACTCATAGCGACCCTATAGGACAGAGTGGAACTGCCCTACAGGGTTTCCAAGGTTGCAGACTGGTACATACGCCTCCTGCCTAGCAGCTGGTGGATTTGAACCGCCAACCTTTTGGTTAGCAGCCAAGCACTTAACCACTGCACCACCAGGGCTCCTTTGCTGTTTTATGTAGGGCAGTCAATTAAGATGTGTTTGTAAAGGTGACCCTTAAGCAAAGACCTGAAAGAAGTGAGGAATAAGCCAAGAATGGCTCTATGCTGTCTTGAGAAAGGTGAGGGATGAGCAGGAGCAAAAGCCCTGCAGCAGGAGTGCTTGCCGTGGTGAAGGAGCCGCCAGGAGGCCATTGTGGCTGGAGCGGAGCAAACAAGGCAGAGAGAGGTAGGAGATGAACCCCAGTGGTAGCCGGGGCCTAGATCACATAGAGTCTGGTCAGCCATTGTAAGCACTTTGGCTTGCTCTCTGTGAGAGATGGAGGCCGTTGGAGGCTTTTGAGCAGAGAAGTGAAGTGGTCTGATGTGTTTTTTAAAGAACCACCCAGCATTGCTTTCTGGAAAATGAGAAGCAGTAGGACGAGTTAGAAGGCCTCTGTAGTTGTCCAGGTTTGGACCAGGGTGGTAGCAGTGGCTATGGTGAGATGTGCTGGCATTGGATTCTGTGTGTATTTTGGAAGGGAAGCCTATGCTTGCATGGGTGGAATTAGCTATGGGGCATAAGAGAAGGAGGTGTCTTAGTCTCTTAGCGCTGTTGTAACAAAAATACCACAAGTATGTGGCTTTAAAAAACAGACATTTATTTTCTTACAGTTCAGGAGGCTAGAAGTCCAAATTCAGGACACCGGCTCTAGGGTAAGGCTTTCTCTGTCGGCCCCAGGGGAAGGTCCATGTGGCCCTGGTGTTCCTCAGTTCTTTGGCAGTCCTCACTTGTGCTCGGTGTTCTCCAGTTTGTGCTTGCTCGTCTCTGTGTCTGTGCTGCTGCTTATCACTCAGAGGTGATCAGGTTTAGGACATACACTGCACTGATATGGCTTCATTAACATAACAAATTAAACCATATTCCCAAACGGGATCACATCTACAGGTATAGGGTTAGGATTCCAACACACTTTGTGGGGGGACACATTGTAGTCCATAACAGGTGTCAAGGATGACTTCTAGGCATAACCTTTGCCCCTAAAACGTATACTCCAGATCTGCTGTAATATTTCCAAAAGCATTTTGATGATATGTGTCAGGAACTTAATATTTTTGTACCCTATTTCTATAAATCTCTCCTGAGGAGTTAATTTGAAATACAAGAAGACATTGTGAATTATGTAAAATAGTTTGAAAAAAAAACTGGAAGCTATCTAAAAGTAAATATTGGTGTAGTTACAACATGGAATATTGTCCAGCCGTTAAAAATGTATACAAAGTTTATGACATCGGGAAATGCTTAATAGTTTAGTGGAAAAGCATTTCAGGTTACAGAATTGAATGTTCTTTATTATGCAATATAATAAAGATAGTGATATATATCTTCATATGAAATATCATCCTATTACGTGAAGGACATATTTATTTGTACTTTTCTGCATTTTCCAAAACTTTTACTTTCATCATGTATTACTTTTAACTATTGGACCGAAACACACACATGCACACACGCACACACGCACACACGCACACACGCACACACGCACACACGCACACACACACACACACACACACACGTACATATAGTTCTTGCCAACAAGTTGCTTTTCTTCCCCCCATGGGGAGACAACCATGAATTCAATTTTATTATGTATTGAAGTTACCTAGGTATATAGTCAGTCCTCCATTATCTGCATGTGGTACATTTACTTTGTGGAGTTTTAGCTAATTTTTAACTCTGTTTTGACTTTCTCCTTGCTTCTCTCAGTGACCTTTCCTGTTATTAGTATGGGTCCAGCAGACAAACATGAATGTTATCCCTAAGTCAAATGAAATTCAAAAGTCAAATCAGCAGTCCCAAAGCCACCCTAATGCCTTTCAAAGGTAGTGCTATAGAAGTGATAGGTTTGGTTACCCTTGCTTCTTGCTATTCGTGGGATACTGGGATACTGTAGTTTTACACAAATAATACATGTGTTCTATGATTTTTTGCCAACTATACTCTCCCCCCTTGAGGTATTTTCGTAAGCCTGCTATGCCAGTTTTTTTACATGTTGTTATAAAAACAATTAGCATAGTGTGCTTACGAAAATACCTCACTGGGGAGGGGGTGGTTGGCAAACAAACATAGAGCGTGTGCGCTATTTGTGTAAAAATACAGTAATAGAGTTCACGCTATAATTGAATGTGTCTTAATAGGTTTCAAGACATATATGCTAACCTATTAAAAGTATTCAGGGTGCTACCGTATTTTATGTTGGTGCTGTTTTGGAAAGTGGGCCATTTTTTCTGTCTTCAGGTTTTGTTATGTTTTTAAATAATTAAATTAAAAATATTTCTTCAGTTATATATGTATACTGTGTATGTGTGTTTATCATACATGTATATATGTGACCAAAAATCTGAGAGGGTATGCACTAAGAATTTAGTAATGGTTGTCTCTGGGTGACTAAATTATATTAGTCAAAATGTTCTGGGCCGGGAGCAAAAAAAAGACTAACAATGGCTTTAATCCACAGGTCTGTGTTTTGTTAACAAGAAATGAGAGGCAGGCATCCCAACTTTGATTCCATAGTCCAGAATTGTCATGGAAGACCCAGGCTTTTTCCATCCTTTTGTCCTGCCATCTACAATGTTGGCTTTCTATCCTTGAGCTCCTCGTTTCATGGTTGCAGCATGGTGACTGTAACTCCCAGTGGCATGCTATGCTCGGAATAGGAATGAGAGGAAAAGAGCAAAGCCAACCATGTATGTTTCTTCTAAGACAAGCACAAAAACCTTCCCAGAAGCTCCCCATCCTTACAGAGTTCCTCTTAACATCTAACAGGTCATATAACTCCCCTAACTTTAAGGGAGGCTGGAAAATTGAGTAAAGTCAGATCACCTTATACCATTTGTGATTTGTTCCCTGTGTTGGGTCCGTTGCTACCCAGATGAAATCAGAGGTCTATTGTCAAGGGGTGAGGGAATGGCTATTGGGTAGGCGACTAATAGTTTCTGCTACTGTCTTATTTTTTTCTTTTTGTTGTCTCTAATGTGTTTTATGGATAACATTTCGAAGAATGGGAATTCCAGAACGCTTAATTGTTCTCATGAGAAACCTGTACATAGACCAAGAGGCAGTTGTTCGAGCAAAACAAGGGGATACTGCATGGTTTGAAGTCTGGAAAGGTGTGTGTCATGGTTGTATCATGTCACCATACTTATTGAATCTGTATGCTGAGCAAATACTCCAAAAAACAGGACTACGTGAAGAAGAACGCCACATCAGGATTGGAGGAAGACTCATTAACAATCTGTGTTATGCAGATGACACAACCTTGCTTGCTGAAAGCAAAGAGGTCTTGAAGCACTTAACTGATGAAGATCAAAACATACAGTCTTCAGTATGGATTACACTTCAACATAAAGAAAACAAAAATCCTCACAACTGGACCAATAAGCAGCATCATGATAAATGGAGAAAAGATTGAAGTTGTCAAGGATTTCATTTTACTTGGACCCATAATCAACACCTATGGAAACAGCAGTCAGGAAATCAAGCAACACACTGCATTGGGCAAATCTGCTGCAAAAGACCTCTTTAAAGTGTTAAAAAGCAAAGATGTCGCTTTAAGGACTAAGGTACACCTGACCCAAGCCATCATGTTTTCAGTCCCCTCATATGCATGCAAAAGCTGGACAATTAATAAGAAAGACCGAAGAATTGATGCCATTGAATTAGGGTGTTGGCAAAGAATATTGAATATACACCATGGACTGCCAGAAGAATGAACACATCTGTCTTGGAAAAAGTACAGCCAGAATGATCCTTAGAAGCAAGGATGATGAGACTTCATCTCATGTACTTTGGACATGTTATCAGGAGGTATCAGTCCCTGGAGAAGGACATCACGCTTGGTAAGGTAGAGGGTCAGCGAAAAAGAGAAAGACTCAACGAGATGGACTGACAGTGGCTGCAACAATGGGCTCAAGTATAACAACAATGATGAGAATGGCACAGGACCGGGCAGTGTTTCCTTCTGTTATACATAGGGTCGCTATGAGTTGGAACCAACTCAGTGGCACCTAACAACAGCAACAATGTTTTTTTAAAATAAATGTGGATTACTTGTGTATTTAAAAAAAAAAAAAGTTTTTTTGAAGTGCTGCTTCTAAGTGATAGGCTAGGTTCATTGCTCTTCCCATTGTCCAAAGTACAGATGACATGGCTGCCCTGTTCCTTCCTCAGGTCTCCGACCATCCGAGACATGGTGATCCGCTGCATCGCCCAGATGGTGAATTCCCAGGCGGCTAACATTCGCTCAGGCTGGAAGAACATCTTTGCCGTGTTCCACCAGGCGGCCTCCGATCACGACGGAAACATCGTGGAGCTGGCCTTCCAGACCACAGGCCACATTGTCAGTAAGTGGCTCTGTTCCCTCCTGACCAGCATCCCGCCTGTCAGTCTAGGAGAGTGACCGCTTATTTGCTGTCTTTTACTTCAAAAGGGTCTTCCTTGTTTCTTCTGTTGTGTAATATGATGATGTGCCAGGCGATCTGTTCAAAGCACTTGACACTCTTTAATCCATTAGTCCTCGCAACAGCCCTGTGAAGAAAATTTCATTATTTCCCCCCATTTTACTAAAGAGGAAGCAGACACGGTGAAATAGAATGACTTGTGTGAGGTCCCTCACTAGGAAGTGGTGGAGCCAGGGCTCACACCCAGGCCATCCAGCCTCCAAGTTGTACAGCATCCCACTGCCCTGTACTGAACAGCAGTCTCCGGTTCTGCCTGTGATCACGTAACAAGATATTTACTTGGTCTTTGTGGAAATTGTAAGGCATCCAGTATCTTTTACCTTTGAGGTCTCTTTAATTTTTTGTCAGCTTCTTGCTACCCATATTTTTCTCATAGGTGATATTTGTAGGATTTTGAGAACTTGGATTTCTAAACTGCCTTTCAGCCCATTGCACCTTCTTTACCTCACGTTATCTTCCCTAGGCTCCAGTGAGATATCAGGAGGTGTGTCTCAGGAGGGAAACAGCCAGGGAAGTCAGGGATGTGCTCAGGATCACGGAACTGAGGCCAGAGCTTTGCTCCATGTTCAGCTCTGTTGGGCAGACCACTGTGGGTCGGCTTCATGCACAGATCCATTTTTATGTCATATAGTTCCTCAAGTCAGCTGTATCCTAAAATGAATTAAGTTATAGCAGAAACCTAAGCATCCTTGTGAACGTTGGTTTTCTCACAGCTTGCCCTCTCCCACTTCCTTAGGATCTCTTCTCAGATAGGCCTTCTTCAGAGAGTCCTTCCCTAATCACTACCTAAACAACCCCTCCTACCCTCTCTCCCCTTGCCCAGCACTCACCCCACCAGAGCCTGTTCTATATGTGTGGTGACTTATGCGATTATTGTCCGTCTTGTTCTTTGGAGCTCTATTCATTCACCTCTGTGCCCTAAGGCCTACATCTGTGCTTTGCACATAGTTGACACTCAGTAAATATTTGTAGAATGAATGACTATTTGAGCCTCTACATCATTGCTTGAGCTCAGGGAACCAGTTTGGCCCGAGATGGGCTCAATACATTTATTCTTGAATAATTTAATGAGAAAAGCTGTCGTCTGGAGATATTGACATGGTTTTCTTAGATTTTCACAAAAGTAATTGTCTCTGATCTATGGATTTTTTGTTTTTTAAATCTCCAATTCTAAATCCTGGGTTTAAAAATATATATGCCTTGTGTTTCCCCAGCAACTATTTTCCAGTACCACTTCCCTGCAGCCATCGATTCCTTTCAGGATGCAGTAAAGTGCTTGTCAGAGTTTGCGTGCAACGTTGCTTTCCCTGATACCAGCATGGAAGCCATCCGGCTCATCCGCTTCTGTGGGAAATACGTCTCCGAGAGGCCCCGGGTACGGTTTTCCTCTCCTTGTTCATGTGGGCAGTGAGGGCAGAAGGGCTCATGGGATGAGAACACACAGCTGACAAAGAGCTTTCCAGCTGCTCTTTTAGAATCATGTTTGCCCTAAACAAGGTGTTTCTTTCAAAACACTGCCAGTGCAGGGTTTATACTTTCTCTCTTATATGTATGAAATTATTTATTTTAGACAGACTGAACTTTTATATGGCTTTTTCTGCAAATAGGTCCTTTTTTTTTTTTTTGTTTAAGAGAATAGTATTTTAGCTTCTTTTGGCAAAGCAAAAGAAGCTAGACCTTTTTATTTGAAAAAAAACAAACATCTCTTTTAGGAAATGACATTATGCCATTGTGACGTGGCTGAGAAATCACATTTAAAAATCACCTTTCATTTTCTCCTGAAAATGTTTGGAGTTTTTCTGTTATATTTCACTTTTCTAAATAGGCCTACTTGGTTTAAATGACGGAGTCCCCAAGTATTGAAACTGGGTGGGAACAGCACTTCGAAACTGTGATGGCCTGTACATACCTCTTCTTAAGCATTCTTTACAGAAGTGTAAACCTTTAAGATGATATGTCTAGTCATTATGATATGAAGGTGATGAGAACGAACAAATGTTGATTGCACACCTAATACATCTCAGGCACTGTTCTAGGTATTTTCACATCTATGAAGTAAATAATTATATCCCCATTGTACAGGGAAGATAACTGAGGCACAGAGAGGTTAAGTAATTGCCAAATGTTAGATAACCAGTGTTGATAAAGAAATTCCGTTACAGTAGACAATACCATTCTAAGAGTGGTTACAGAGCTTGTTTTTGGGTGCTATAGAGTCGATTCCAACTCATAGCAACCCTATTTGACAGAGTAGAACTGCTCCAAGGGTTTAATCTTTGCAGGATTGAAGATTAAATCCTATAAAGATTAAGCTCTATGGGGCAGTTCTAGGCTGTAATCTTTATGGCAGCAGATTGCCAGGTTTTTTCTTCTATGGAGCTGCTGGTGGGTTTGAGCTGCCAACCTTTTGATTAGCAGCCAAACACTTAACCATTGTACCATCAGGGCTCCTTAGTAACAGAGCAGAGAGGTCAAAATCCAAGTGATAGGGCAGAGAGTAGGGGTCCACAGCCAGACTGTGGAGAGACTGTCAGCCCCTAGCTGCATGACCCTGGACAGCTTACTTCACCTCTCAGTGCCTCAGTTAACTCATCTGTAAAATGGGACCATTATTTCTCCCTGCACCTTAACAGTTCCTGGCCCATAGCAGGCACTCAGTATATAGTAGTTGCTGCTGCTGTTGCTATTATTTTAAGTAGTTTTTATTATAATAACATTCCGGAATGATCTAAGATTTTGAATCATCCTGGATATTTGGCTAACACCATTTGACCTGTAGTGCTCTTCTTAATGTGATACCTCCCACCCCCAGGAATCTGTGATCTGCCCTACTCAAACCCGCTGTGGGTTCATATGGGGAAACTGCTTGTGTGCCCTTTGGGACAGGCGAATGTCTGTCTCCTTGGGACTGCCTGTGTACCAGTGCTGAAAGGATATTTTTAGGGGAGGAAAATGTGCAGGGCTTTAATCTTTGTCGTGTTCCTTTGAAGTTCCTCTCTCTTGCTTGCCGAGTCTACGTCTTAGCTGTGACTTTCGTTGTAGGTGCTACAGGAATACACAAGTGACGACATGAATGTAGCTCCTGGCGACAGAGTCTGGGTCCGAGGCTGGTTCCCCATTCTATTCGAGCTCTCCTGCATCATTAATAGATGCAAGTTAGATGTACGGACAAGGTAACCATGTCCCCGGCATTGCGGCCCCCTGCAGCACTGACACGAGCCTCAGGCACTTGCTCACCTGACCCCATGTCTCCCACTTTCTTCTCTGTTGTTCCCTCTCCCACCCCATTCCCTCTTCTGCGCCTGGCTCTGTTTCCTCCAGAGGACTCACTGTCATGTTTGAGATCATGAAGAGCTACGGCCACACCTTTGAAAAGCATTGGTGGCAGGATCTGTTCAGAATCGTGTTTAGGATTTTCGACAACATGAAACTTCCGGAGCAGCAGTCAGAGGTAAGAGAATGACGAAAGCACTGCCCTGGATACGATGGGGAGGAAAGCCTTTGGTCTGCTTCTGGGGCTGCAGAGTCATCAACCCAGAAGTCTTAAATACTGAGCTCTGTAAGGTGTGTTTGGAGAATGGAGACACTCTCCTGGTATTCTTCTACCAGCATCAACTAGGACTAAAGAGGCTCTCCCTATCTGGAGAAGGGGGAGCGGAAATCAGTCACCGTCATCTGGCCACATGGCCCTTGGGCATCCTTCCTGTCCATTTCAGCAGGACGCCCTACTGGCTGTCATAGCTGTTTGTTCACATCGACTTCTGAAAAAAGTCAGAAGTAAGTGGAGTGTTTCCGATCCCTTAAGGGTTTTTAATGAAGTTACAGTTGAAGATGATGTTGGCAGATATTAGGCCATTTTTTAACAAAGGACTTTTGATGCATGCGGGTGTTTTGTTATTTGCCTCACTGGGGAAGAGCGTGAAGGGGATAGTCTTCTCTCAAGATTTTTAGATGAGAGAGTAACTTTTGTACTTTCTCTTAGGAACACCATGCCCTCCTCCCCCTCTTCCAGTATAAGAGTAACATATGCTTAACATGGAAAATATAGAGAATTCATAATTTTACCATCCAGAAACTAGAATTATTCTTTGGCAAATTTCTCTGTCTTTTACATGGCTGAGTTCAAGCAGTGTCGTTGTTAGGTGCCGTTGAGTCGGTTCTAACTCATAGCCACCCTGTGTACAATAGACCAAAACGCTGCTGAGGTCCTGCACCATCCTCACAATCATTGTTATGCGTGAGCCCATTATTGCAGCCACTGTGTCAGTCCATCTCATTGAGGGTCTTCCTCTTTTTTGCTGACCCTCTACTGTACCAAGCATGATGTCCTTCTCCAGGCATTGGTCCCTCCTGATAACATGTCCAAAGTGTGTGAGATGAAATCTTGCCATCCTTGCTTCTAATGAGCATTCTGGCTGTCCTTCTTCCCAGATTTGTTCCTCTAGCAGTCTGAGGTATAGTCAGTACCTCCAGCACCATATTTAAAGGTGTCAGTTCTTGTTCGATCTCCCTTGTTCATTGTCCAGCTTTCGCATGCATATGAGGCGATTGAAAACACCATGGCTTGGGTCAGGCACACCTTAGTCTTCATAGTATAGATACAATTTATAATCTTTTTTTTTTTTTCTAATTTTAAAATAAGTTTTTTCTCATTGTAAAACAAATACATATTCATTACAGAAAGATCAGAAAACAAAGAAAAATGTAAACACAGTTGCACTGGCAACATTAACCCCTTCAAATGCCTCTTCTCTTCGTGTATCATACACATTTTATTTTTACAAAAATGAGATGCACCACTCATACTGTAAACTGCTTTTTTAACTTAATGCATATGAGGGTTTTTCATATACAGCCTTTCGCAACTCTAATTTTTCTTCTACAGTGTTTTTAAGGGCTGCAAGATATTCCTAGTTGTGAATGTACCATAGTTTATTCAACCAGTCTCCTACTATTGGACATTTAGGTTGTTTCCAATTTTCATTTCTTCAGACACACTGAAGTGAACATTATTTTGTAGCTGGACTTCTACTTGTGTTCTTTCTTTAGGATAAGTGGTCTGAATGGCAGGTTTGGGGCTTGCACGTTACTGAGCTTTTTGATAAGTACTGCTAAGTTGAAGTCCAAATAAATTTGTATTCATTTTTACACTTCTGTCGGTAATGCGTGAGTGTTCCTGTTTCTCCACACCCACCTGAGCTTTTCATATGTTGTTAATTTAATAGGAAAAGTATCGCATTTAATTTTTTTTTAATTGCCAGCGAGCTTACACTTTTCCACATCACTGATCGTTTGCATTTCTTTGTCTTTTTTTTTTAATTCTTGGATACTTCATGTTTTCCAAGAACTGAATTGAATCAAACAGCAATATCCAAACTTAAGATGCTGTTTTCAATTAAATTATATTTTTCATGTTTTAAAACTATAGCTTAATACATTTTTCTGTTGGGTTATTCGCCTTCTTCCTATTGAGATATGCTACTGCAATCTTTATATGTATATAAAGATTACACGTATAAAGATATATGCTACCACAATCTGCATATAAAGATTGTAGTAGCATATCTTTACATACATTACAGATGGTTTTGCCCACTTTGTCACTCTTATTTCCTTTTTATTTTGGAAACTTTTAGCTTTTAAAGTAGCCAAATCTATCAGCTTTTGCCTTTATGGTTTACATTTGGAATCGTGCTTAGCAGCCGTTCCCTTTTCCGGATTTTATAAATATCTCTGTGTATTTCCTCTGGTGATGTCATGGCATCATTTTTAATATTTAAGATTTTGGTGTCAGTTGTGTTTAGTGTAATATGTTCATATTTTCCAGATCATCAAAACTCTGTATGATACCATTGTGAACATCTGTTTAATATTCTGTCATGTTTAATCCCCACATTGCTAGACATTAGGTTGTATCTGTGTTTTCAGTATATAAATGCCAATGTGGTAAACATCTTTATTCATGAACCTGATTGATTCTTTAGGATCAGTTCCTAGAAGTAGTGGGCAGTGGGTGTGAACGTTTTTAAGGCTGTCAACGATACTACCAACTTGCTTTCCAGAAGTTTTGCCGGTAGTGTATGAGAATGTCAGTCTCACCTCAAGGAGGGAGGCTTTTAAACGTTCTCTCTATATTGTTTTTCCAGAAATCTGAGTGGATGACGACAACTTGCAATCACGCACTTTATGCTATTTGCGATGTATTTACCCAGTTTTACGAAGCTCTGAATGAAGTTCTGCTTTCCGATGTATTTGCACAGTTGCAGTGGTGTGTAAAGCAAGGTACTCTTTAAGTCTGTAGGCATTAATTTTTCTAGTCATCATCCTTAATGAGAGTTGATTTTCTTCAGCATATAAAAACATAGATATTATGTCAGGGAATACAGTGTATAATTAGTGAAAGTGTGTTTGTTTTTTATTTATTTAATTGGAGCATAAAAGCAACCCCTCCCTCCTTCAACTCAGTTTGTAGGTATTTCTTTAAGGTGGGATGTAGTTATATTTTAAAAGATGTACCTTTGTACATTATACTATTATTTCTACTTTTGTATATGTTTGAAATTGTCTATGATAAAATGTTTTAAAAACGTGCCCTTAGAGTCAAGATCAACAGCTTCATCGATGGACCTTTTTTGTTTAAGTAGTTAGGTGTTTTAGGAAAAATACCCAACTAGCCATCAGACCTGGATCCCATAGATAGTTTTGGCTTAGGACAAGGCTTAATTAGTTAAGTTTTTCAAAAAGTTACTCAGTTTATAAAATAACATAAATGATGAAACAGTTGATACTGATATGGTAAAAATTAGAAACATAATGTTAAAGTGACTAAATTTTTGGAGACACTAGTCTAATATTTTCTCTCTGCTCTTACCATTTCTCATATGTGAAGCCATTTACTTAAAGTAGCAAAATGTTGATCTTCATCCCTAGCAATAAAATATGACAAATAATCTTACCTCTTTGTAGCCTATTTAAACTGTAAAAATGGTAATACTGTCTATAGCATTTGCTTCATTAATGAAAAGCCTACAAACCCGCCAGTTGCATAGTCTCCACCTCACGATATGAAGGCTCAGGGATTTGGTTGGAATCAAAACAGCAGCTGGAGTTTAATGACAGATGTTTTATTTTGCAGATAATGAGCAGTTGGCTCGATCAGGTACAAATTGCTTAGAAAACTTAGTAATATCCAATGGAGAGAAATTCAGCCCTGGTGTCTGGGATGAAACGTGCAGTTGTATGTTAGATATTTTCAAAACAACCATCCCACATATGTAAGTGTTAATGTGACTGTTGCAGTATAATTCTGTGTTCAGTGAATGTCTTAAAGCTTCTGGTTGCCTTTCATGTTGATCATTTCTTCCTCTTGCATTCCCTTAAGTTTGCTGACATGGAGACCTGTAGGCATGGAGGAAGATTCATCAGAAAAACATTTGGTAGGATTTTTTCTTTTTGGTCTTTTCTGTGATCTCATATCTTAGTAAAAGATTAATCAGCCCAAAGAGTCTGTGCTTCTCTGATGGGATGTGAGTTAAAAAAAAAAAAAGAAAAAGAAAAAGTTAGAAGATCTAAAAACAATATATGTTCATTAAAAAAAAAATTTTTTTTTTTTTAGAACATACAGAAGTGTATCAAGAAAATGAGTCATGTCACTCAATAAAAATCAGAGTTTACGTTTCTAGTTTTTTCTTTGGCTATGCACACAAACACCATACTTAATTGAAATGAGAGCTCATTTGGCACATGCCAAATTACTTAACATTTTGAGCATTTTTCCATATTCTTAAATATTCTTTGAGAACAGCCTTTTCAGTGGCTGCACATTATTATAATTTATTTAACCAATTCTCCCTCGTTGGAGTCTCAGTCACTTCTAGTGTTTCACTATTATAAATAACACTTGGTTTGTTTTGAGTGTCCTTATTTATTGCTTTCCCAAACGGAGGTTTGCTGTCCATCAATGAAATAGTTATTTTTTATATGAGGCCACATTAAGAAGTTCTAATTGAAATCTCATTTTATAGAGGAGTTTGGATTATTGACTTCTATCCCAAATAACTATGAGGCCGTTAGTGTTTAAGAGGTATTTGAGATACAGAAACAAAGCACATTATTTAAACATTTTCTGCTTTTTGACTCTTTCTTGCACTGTCAACTCGAAATCACTAGCTACCTCACTGGTTTATTTTTTAACTTGAGCTCCTTAAAAATTTGTTACGCTCACTGTTAAATCATACTATGTAGAGAAATGCTGTCTAAACTGGAATAGGAAAGTGTGAAATTTTAATGAGAGGAGGCATAGATGAACTTCTTAATCTCTCCTCTGCAGCCTTTGAGACGTGCATGCAGTATAAATTTTACTTAGAGCAAGGCCCATAAATCTAGCTGGCCTGGCAGTGCTGAAACGGGCACATTTCTGCCCAGCACTGCTTTTGGATGAAGAGGAGTGAACAGTGTGTTTCTCTCTGCTTTGCTTTAAGGATATGGATCTGGACCGCCAGTCTTCAAGCAGCATAGATAAGAATGCCTCTGAGAGAGGCCAGAGCCAGCTCTCTAACCCGACCGACGACAGCTGGAAGGGTAGACCATATGCAAGTAAGACCACTGATTTTTTTAATGTTTTCATTTATTTAAAATAGGTCACACATTTACATGACTCAGATATTCAGAAGGTACAGAAGGGTGCACATGATAAGCCTTTCTCCTCACCCTTGTGCCTCAGTCTGCCAGACCTCTTGCCTGTGACAGCCAGTGCTGCCCCCTTACGTTCCCTTCCAGCGACGTTTCATCCACGTGCAGGCAAACACACATATATATTTGTGTGAATTGTCCTGCCCTCCTTTTTGTACAGATGATGGAATCCTGCTGCTGTGTGCCAGGCACTCTACTGTGTGCTTTATGTGCATGGTCTCGTTTAATCTTTACAATGGCCCTTTGAAGGTGGTTCTGTTTTACATTTGCGTGACCTGAGGCTTAGACAGGTGACATATGCCAATGTGTCGTACAGTTGGGATTCCGACGCATCCTTGGCCGACTGAGGAGTTGGAACTTGTATGTGTTATTCTGCTCTTTTTAAAATTGTGTGCCCTGTTGTTTGTCTTCATTGCAGCCCCACGCCCTCCTCACCACACCAGGCTGTACGTGCTAACATTGAAGTTAACTTTCGAAGCAGCACGTTAGACAAAAGCCAGGTGTGGTCACCATTATCTTTTGAAGGAATAAAATGTAATCACCCTTGAAATCCATTAAAAAGGCACCGTGTAGGAGACCGGCATGCTGTCTCTCAGTAACTGCGGCACGGCCAGTTTTCTCCACAGTGTCCAGTGGGGAATGGTCTCAGTTTCTTCCATAAACTCCAGACAACGCAGTGGGCTTGTGTGGGGGGAGCAAATATACATTTCTTTAAAAATAGAACCTCTCTCAGTGCAGCAGGACATCTGCACACCAAGAAGAACCTGGAACTTGAGACCCCTCATTCTCCCAGGGAACAGTGGATGTGTTTCTACTAGTCTCTCACCTCAGCCTCCCTTCTGGGCATACGCTCAGTAAGCAGAGTGGCAGGCAGAGTCTCGTACGCCATTTGTATTTTTCTCTTTCTTTCTTTTAAGATGGTATAATGAATTGGCATAAGTTAAATGTACAGCTCATATAATTCCCCTGTATTTTTTTTTTAATTAAAACTAATACTGCTTGGAGAATTTTTACATGGGCATATGATTTCATAACCACTTTCAAAAACGTAAAGAACTTCGAAGAGCCACCCTCCATTCCCAAGGATGAACCGCGGGAACACACAGCCTCTTGCTGTTGGGGTGAAACTTACTGCCCTGCATAGCTCATTCCCTCGCCTTCTTTAGGTCTTTGCTCAAATAATCACGTTTTCACAGAGATCTTTCCTGACCAGCTGATTTAAATTTGTACCCTCACCCTTACACTTCCTGTCCCCCTTCCTTACCTATGTCGTCATCGTTTGACAAGCTTTATCTCACACTTAAGTGTCTTGTTTATTGTCTGTCTACTCCATGGGAACGGGGATTTTTGTCTCTTTTATTCATTGCTATATCACAGCATCAAGAATCGTGCCTGGCACATAGTAGGAGCTCAGTGAATATTTATTCACTATTGGCTGAATCATTATTAGGGTTAATCCTTATCATCTAATATAGATCAGAAACTGTTTGCCAGCCTCCTCATCAAGTGTGTGGTCCAGTTGGAATTGATACAGGCCATTGACAACATCGTGTTCTACCCCGCAACGAGCAAAAAAGAGGATGCAGAGCACATGGTTGCTGCCCAGGTAATGACAGCAGGCCTCAGAAGGACATCCTCGTCTGCAAGGAGGTGGCTTAGAGACAGTGGTATGCTGGAGCCAGCTTGTACTGGCTGACAAGAACTGATGGTGCTCAGCTCTTCCCAGCTCCGCATTCAGCGATGTCTTATCAGTAGCTTGTAATTGGCCATGATGGAAATATTTATACCACAGAAATTGACAGACACTACACATCAGGGTCCCCCCCTCCCTCCCGCCGAGCTGTTTCTAGGCATACCACTGCTCAGATGCCACCTTGATGCTTTGAAATGAGTGTTATTAATCAGGGGGACTATTGCCCATAATTGGTCTATAATTTAACCATAAATGAAGGAAAATACGTGAATAAGAATCCCAGTTTTTCATTCAGAAAGCTCACTTTTTTGTTCCTTTTGTATACGCAGCCTTTTATATGTAAGGTATTCTTGAAAATATAGAGAATTGAGTGTCCAAAAGTTGTACAGTAACTTTACACCCTGGGCTGCAAACTCAAATGCTTCAGGGGCTAGCAGGCCCTGTGGGTGGATGAGGCAGACTGGATGGGGACTGCAGTAAAGCGGAGGTCCTCCATCCAGGGGTCAGGTCATCAGTCTTGGAACTTTTCCAGAGAAGCCAGAATCAGGAGTTCAGTAGTCACCTGATAGAGGCTAAAGATGCCACTTAGGCTTGGCCTAATATTTTCTTTCAGTCAGTATGTTTGAGACTTTTTATTACATATATTTCACTTTGATTTTCTTTTTTTTTTTTTTAATATTGTGTTTTTGGTGAAAGTTTACACAGCAAATTAGGTACCCATTTAACAATTTCTGTATATATTGTTCAGCACCTTAATTGTTTTATTTTCCAATTATGTTTATGAAATAGGACAATGCAATCCTGTAGTCATATAATTGCAGAAACACACATTCCTATTCATGCCACGAAGGCCACACTGACAGAACTGGAACTTTAGCCAGCAAAGTCTTCGTGATACATGAGCTCATTGTATTCTTTCACCAGCCAGTGAGCCAAGACTGAATGGAGAACAGTTCAGGGTGTTGAGGAATGAAGTGTAGCATAGACAGAGGGTGACTTTTGGAGAGTCAAGACTGTCTTCATCTGATATCACAGTGTGTTAGGAAAGCTTTCTTGCTGATGTTCCAAAGCCACTCCATTGTGTTCAGTTAGCTCTCCTCCCCTCCCTCCTAGCAAGATACGCTCGATGCAGAGATCCACATAGAGACAGAGGACCAGGGCATGTACAAGTACATGTCGTCACAGCACCTCTTCAAGCTGCTGGACTGTTTGCAGGAGTCCCATTCATTCTCAAAGGCCTTCAACTCCAATTACGAGCAGCGGACCGTCCTCTGGCGAGCAGGTAAGGCCACCCAGCAGATAGGACAAGTGGCCACACTGCCCACTGTCCTAAAACATTAGAACCTTTGGGAAATTCCTGGTATTTTAAACAATAGCTGGAGTCATTTACTAAATGTTTTCGTACTTGAGAGGGAAGGAAGGGAAATATTGGCTAGGTTTTATCCCAGCACCAGGAACGCTGCCTGGCACCTGGTAGACTCACAGTGTTTGATGAAACAACAAATCAAATGTTGGAGACTTGAAATGATCTAGTAAGTCAAGAAATTTTACATTAAATTAAAATAGTTTAGTTAAATGTAATGTAAAACATATGGTGGGCTAGGAGGAACGGAAAACATTCAGACATTTCCTGAGGCTTTTAGGGGTTCCGTGGTTCCACCTTTCTTCTCTCTCTTCCCCACCTCCAAAAATAAATGTGTAAATCCTGGTGGTGAGTGCAGTATTTCAGATAGTTACTTTTTATGGAATGTTACTATTTCTGTACTGGACATGGTGTTTATGTTCAAAATAAGCTATATGTCATATTTATGTTCTTTGGAAATACATATGACTTTGGATCTATAAGGATCACTAGAAGAAAAGGTATATTTCTTAAACAGAGAGGTGGAATTTTATGATGATTCCTCAAGACCTCTTATGATTCAAAATTCAGATAACTCAAGAGGTATATTCCATAGGCCTGAGAGTAAAGGAGAGGGGTCACATTCTTATAGCACATGTATCCACAGACACTATAAGGTAACTTTGCTTTTAAATACTGTTTAAGCTATTTATCTATCTGATTCAAAGTTAGGCCCCCTCAACAGCTTTTTTTAATGACATCTAACTTGCATTCCAACAATATAGATTTTTCGGCATCAGGTGACATTGTTATCAGCTGTAAAAAAACATTTAAAATTATGACAGTGGTGAATGTGGCATAACACCACAAAGTCACCAGAATCGCTCACTGGCTTTCCCAGGCTCTAAAGTAGCAGTGAGGTCCCATGGCCCTGGCAGTAATTGCTGATTATCAACTGAAGTAGTGCTGCAAGTCACAAACGCCTAAGTCCAATTTACAGGTCACTTGGTCTCCAGCCTTGAAATTATGCTTCTCCTCTGTGTGTGTGTGTGTGTGTGTGTGAGTGTATGTATGTATGTATATGCATATGCAGCAGGGGGAGTAGGGTTCTCATTAGTTTGAACTTTGCATAAAAATGTTTTATTAATATTTTTATGTTTTTACTATTACTTTCATTTTCTCCCCAAATTCCTATTCTAACCCACAACTTAAAAAAATGTCACTTTTCCCCATGGCTTTAAAATATCTAGATGTTTTATGTCTTTGCCGTTAGTAACATTTTGCTAAAAAAAAAGAGAGAGATTGTAAGAGTGGTTTGCACATCTGTGGCAGATTGGTACTGCTTTGTTTAAGAAAGTGTATTCTTATACTTTATTGTGTACTATGTGAAAAAACATCTTGCAGCTTAGAAACATGCTAGAATTCTTAAGAGCTATTACGCTTGAGAGGATGAAGCGTCACCTGTCACACAAAGCATTCTGTTTCAGGCAACTGAGTTGTATTAAGTATAGGAGATGTTTCATTGTTTCCTAAAGTGACTATATTGGGTTCCCACACGATTCCTCCACATTATCCTGGAAATGTGCACTACTTATATGACTATCTGATCTCTAGGTTTTAAGGGCAAGTCTAAGCCCAATCTTCTAAAACAAGAAACCAGCAGCCTGGCCTGCTGTTTGAGGATCCTCTTTCGAATGTACGTCGACGAGAACCGAAGGGATTCCTGGGAAGAAATACAGCAGCGACTTTTAACGTAAGAAGATTGGTTTCCAATTTAATTTCTTGTATGTAATATACAGACTGCATCACCACAATACTGTGAATAGAAAAGGAAGAGAGGAACAGCTACACTGACACCCTCACAAGCTGTTTTCCTTTTTCTTTTTATTTTCTGTTTGGAGGGTGGGGCCTCCTTTGTTTCTGTCGTAAGTCCTCTCTAAGGCACAGAAACATGGGCAGTGAGAAGTGTTCTGAGCTCAGAGTCAGCAGGCCTGGAGCCAGTCACTTCCCCTCCTGGGACTCTAGAGCCCCTGCCTGTCAGCTCCAGCATCCCATCATTCCTTTTTCCAAAGACGAATATATTAGAATCATATGGATACCAGGATGCACCGACTTCGATTATGGGAAGACAGTGGGATGCCATTGAGACAGCTCCAGTCCGAAAAGTACATCTTTGCCACCCAGCTCCGGGGCGGCTGAGCTAGATGCTGATGTCTGCGTTTCCTTTTACTCCTTTAACATTTAAAAACAGTCACATGCAGTGCTGGCGACTGTAGAGATACACACTGTCCTGCACTGCTGGTACAAGTGCGTTGACGTGATGTTGCTGGAAAGCAGGTGGCATTATATATCAGGAGCTTAGAAAGTTCGTTCTCTTTGACTCGGTAATTCCACTGTTATGGAACCTATTTAAGAAAATATTTTAGAAATAGGAACCCGAATTCCCACACAGAATATTCATTGCAGACTGACTTACAAAGAGAAAAAATTAAAAATGGACAACTAACTTATGGTATATGATAGAGTACTATGCAGCCATTAAAAATCAAGATTTTTTTTCTTTGATGTGGGAATATGCTCATCAGACAATAAGACAAAAATCCAAGATGCAAAATTACATATATTTGTGATTTTCAACAATATTTTTTAAAAATCGTATCTAAAAAAACAGAAAGAAATATGCCAGAATGTTGTCATGCACCCCTTAGGATGATAGAATTATGGATATTGTTTCTCTCCTTTATAGTTTTATGCACTTTCCAGTTGTCTTACAATGAGAATATATAACTAAGAAGTCATAAACTGAAAAAAAAAAAAAAAAAAAAGAGTGGGACATCAGTGGCTCATCTCAACTTAAACCAAGCCCAAAAGAGAATTACCTACATAGTGTCATGAAGTTTCCCTAAAGGACATACATAAGAGTTAAGTTTTCAGCATAACATGTTTTTAAAAACAGCAATTGTGTGTGGTGATGAAAAGAGGGAGGCAGTGTATAATTAAATAATACACTTGAGTTGGCTACTTTTCACATGAGCTAAAGAAGTTGAATTCTGCAAATATCCATTGAGCCCTCACTGTGTGCCAGGCCTGAGCTAAAACTTAACAAACTTGTTTAATCCTCACAACAACCCCTTGAGTTTGGTACAGTTATTTATGCCCATTTTATAGCTGAGGAAACTGAGGCTGCACAATGTTTTGCCCAAGGTGGCGCAGCTGGCACGGGTGCTCAGTCAACACTCATTGCAAGGATAAAAGTTCCCCACCGAATGTGAGATATTAACTGCTGTTTGACGCGTCTCCTCCCCTCGTACTTGTAGTGTGTGCAGTGAAGCTCTTGCATACTTCATCACGGTGAACTCCGAAAGCCATCGGGAAGCCTGGACAAGTCTCTTGTTGTTACTTCTAACAAAAACCCTCAAAATAAATGATGAAAAGGTATAAGCAAGTAAACTCTCTGATGCCTCCACTGGGATATAAGATTTGGGTTGCCTTTTTTTCTTTTTTGGCAGGATGGCTTTTTAAACAGTTTGAAGTGACTTTTCTAGGAGAGTGGGTTGAGATTGTGAAACACTGGTTTAGGCCTGAGAACTTGACTTTGGGTGGCAAGGCTATCCCCAGTTAATTTGTGTTTGGAGTTAAATATTGTTAATTTGCAAGTGTTTTGGCACCAGCTCTCTAATAGCAAGAAAAAGCACCAATATTGCAAAAAGTTCCAGGGTGAAAGGAATAGTTTTAAAAATCTAGTGCAAAAAGAAAATGGCTCCATGTCTAATTTTATGTCTCTGCTTCTCTCCTACGTCAAGTTTAAAGCACATGCTTCGATGTACTATCCCTACTTGTGTGAAATGATGCAGTTTGACCTGATTCCTGAGCTCCGAGCAGTTCTGCGGAAGTTCTTCTTACGGATAGGTGTTGTTTATAAGATATGGACTCCAGAAGAGCCATCACAGCTCCCAGGGACATTGTCAGCAGTGTGGTAGCACTGGCCCGTCCGAGCCACAGCTGCAGCTCCACAGAACATTCCTAATGCCTCCTCTGACTGACACATCTTATGAAGGGTCAGGTCATAGAAACAAGGAGTCGGCATCTTGGATCTCAGAATGGTCTGGACGAGGATGGCGTCTCTGCTGGCCCCATCAGAGTCCATGATGGTTCTCATCAAATTGTTGCATACCCAGTTAACACAGTAGGTGGGGAGTCTGTTTCATCTCTGTCATTCCATTTGGCTGATTAAATTGTCTGTCGAATCGGTCATCGCAGATGCCATCATTTTCTAGCAGAGTCCCACGATTGGTTGTAAATTTTTGTCAGAGGAAGTTGCTCTCCTTGAAAATACTGAACATAGCTGTATAGGTTCATGATTATTAGAGTACGTTAATAAAATTTCTTGTAACGGTTAACTGCCACCGAAAAATACGCTGGGTTTTTTTGTTGTTGTTCGAGCGTGTTAGAGAAGTTTGAGTGTCTTTGTCAGTTGTAAGTCAGCTGTAGTTAGATCAGTTTGGGGAAAGTTAGGGAAGAGAAGGGCTTTTTGTGTGTGTTTTTTTTAATGTCTGATTGGTTTTTAAAGTATTTTACAAAATGATCTCATTGAAGATTTGATTGAAGGCAGAGTTTAGTGATTAAGTTAGAATTAAGAGCTTGCAAGATTAAAAAAAAAAAAAAATGTAGTGCCTCCTGGCTCTCCCTGTTTTAGTAAGCTGGGGAGAAAAATCTATAGGAAGAAAGTAAACAATTTAAGGAAGATGATTAGCCTCCTTTGAAGTAAGTATATGTGGATGGGTATTGTATTAAAATTTCAGAATACGTTGTCCATCTCACACACTGAAATCTAATATATGAAGTAGTAATGAAAATGAAGTAGTAATTTAACCAGAGTTAATTTATATTTGAGTAAAACCTTTTTATTTTTAACTCAGAATAGTGAGTGTATTGATTGTGAGTATCACTGCTTTGCACAGTCCCCACTAAAGGGCCCTCGAGAGAGGGACAGTAACTGTGCATGAGAAGAGATGCTCCTGTGGCCCTCCCCAGCCAAGTGGCATGGGTTGAACCAGAACGAGCCTGTGCTGTCGTGAGCCAGCACAGCTGATGTGACGACAGCAGGAGGTGGCATGTGCCCAATGTTTCCGTTAATTTGAGCCTGGGAGCTGAATTTTTTGGAAGGTTAGGTTCTGGGGTCCTTATTATGTTAATGATGGTGCAATACTCTTAACTGCAGTAGAACTGAATTCTGATGCAGCTTTTGTAAAAGTGGGCATATACAAATGCAGCCCGGAACCTGCAAACAGTATATTTGGAAGCTTAATTTATTCTGAGTCAGCGAAAAAAAGAACCACGCGCTCATTCTCTGCCCTCTCATCCACTGCTCTCCTGGAGCAGCACTGAGCGTTAGAAAAAGTATTACACAGAGTTATTAAAACATTCAAACTTCTACCTACACTCTTTAGTTCTGTAAATTGGGTTGTACTGATGTCAACTCTGGTGCCTTAGAAGTTACTAGTTTGGGAACCTATCTGTAAAATTGAGTATTTTTTCTTTATAGAGAAGGATTTCTGGTGCTTATTAAGAGATTGATTTTTAAGTTTTTTGTTTTTAACAGCTTGAGAATTTTTTTTGTTTTGTCCAGCCATCCTCTGTCTTCTTTCTTCTTTCCCAAAAAGGGTTTTAATTTCTCTACCAAAGAAAAAAAGACCAGGTTTAGGTTTTTATATTACTTATGTATATTAGCAAAGAGGAGCTATATAATTTAGCAGGAAGGGACTATGGGAGAATATTTTACTGTGAATGGGAAATGTTAGCACATTTGACCAACTTTTCCTGGAATCTGTTACATCCTTACACTGCAACGTGAAACTCACGTTCTGAGATTCACCCCCGGTACTGTAGTCTGTCACAACCTCAATGATAATCAATATTTGTGCTGAAGGTATAGATGAAGAACATGTGGCTGATTCATACTTACCTCCATACAGTAGAGATACGTCCCTTGATTGGTGGTATTTTTCTTTCCTTCCGAGGTTCTCATGTGGCACTTTCTTCATCGAATGTGACTTTTCCAATGTTTTCCTGCCTTCTCTTTAATTGTTGCCTCCTCTCGTGGGGTAGAGAATGTGGAAGAGCATTTGGTTACTTATTGAAACATTCAGACTTAGATTTCCTTTTAACTTCGTCTTTTGAACATTTCATTTTTCTGAATTTGACTTGTACCAGCAGTGGACCTTTTAAAAACTCGATGTAAAACCATTTTGGGTAATTTTTCTCGTCGGTAGACAGTGACAGAGGAAATCCTTTACCTCCAGTAATAAGCCATTCAGCTGAAATTCTTTTTTGTGAATAAATCTATTCTTTCTCATGATACACATGGCTTGTGCCACTCAAACACTAGTGAAAAGGATGTGTGCGACGCCAGGGCACCGGGCCAGGCGCACTTTATTGCACAGAGTTACAGAGGAGTGTGAAGCTTTTTCCAAGGCCTTATTTCTTTCTCAGAATGCTTTAAGTGCTGGTTATATGTGCTGGGTCTCTAGAGAAGTTTTTGTTACAATACTGCTGCTTTGAACAATTTTGTTTTTCTTCATTGTCCAATAGAGAAATCACCAGCTTTGGCATCTTAACAACAAACGGTGGATGGGGTATTTTCTCTCTAATCTGCATCTTTAGAGTCAAATATACCTTTTCCCTGTTGCTCCTTGTATACAACCAAAGAACATACATTACAGAAATCGTATGATAATATCTGGAAACAGAACATTTTCCTCTGACAGGTGACTTTTGTACAAAATGGAAAAAAGAAAAAGCTAAACTTTTTTTGCTGTTTTATGATAATGGCTACACATCCCGTAGTCGTCATAGTTAATTAAAGGAACCTGCTGACAAATGAAAGTATTACCTAATTTTCTAATGTTTCAAATGTTTGTTGTTACGATGCAAGCGGATATTGATTTAAACAGAAGCTGGATCCTTAATACTTTATTTTCTGAATTCTGTTTTAATATTTGTGTTAGACATGGCTTGAGCTCATAGGAAATCTTTGGAGTTTTGTTATCTGCAGCTTTGAAGTTGGGAAGAACAGTAAACCAAAGCTGAATATTTTAAAGAATGAATATATCTGGAATTCCTTGCTTACAAAAAAAAAAAAAAAATTACAGACACTCATCAAAGGTGTAGTTTTTCTCAGTGTTCTAATTTTTAAAAAATTTTATCTGCATATTTGCATCAAATATTTCTTTGTGCAAAATGTATGTTTTTCCTTCTTAAAATGCCTAAAAGTTAGTTAACAGCTACTTTGATTTAATCTATACATGATGGTTAAGTGCATTTAATATTGGTAATTTAATGAAAAGCATTCCTTGCCCAATGGATGTATACATTTTTGAAAGAATAAGCAGAAATATATAATATGAAATGCTATGTAAAGTTTTCTATGTAAAAATATTATGTATAATACTGTTAAAATATGCCATGCTTTAATCAGGTGGTAAATCAATAAAGTTTTGAAAAGTAAAGTTGTTTTTAATGTAATAATTAAAATGTCTATCAAGTCATCGTTTTGGGTTAGTTTGTTCTTCAGATAGGTATGAGCTTGACTGGTGGTAAAATTTGACTTCTGTATTTAACATACATAATTAAGGAGAGAACATTGGGAGTTCCTGGGTGGCACAAACAGTTATGCAATTGACTACTAGCCAAAAGGTTAGAGGTTCGAACCCACACAGAGGCACCTCAGGACGCAGGCCTGGCAGCCTGCTTCCGAAATGTCACAGCCTTGAAAACCCTGTGCGTTAGTTCTACTAGGCACACGTGGGCAAACGACAAGAACAACTATCGAGGAGAGAATATTAAGTGTGGGCCTTGATTTTTTTAAGTAAAGTTATATTTTTGCTCATGAAAGGGGAAAAAATGCAGTCATGTAACGATTCTTACTTATCTCTGAAATCCACTCGATTACTCATTAATTTGATAAGTGGGTTAGTTCCTGAGAGAGAACAGAAATCTCTCCCTGATGTGGAGGGCAAGTGTGCAGTCCTAAGATGACAGAGGAGGACTCACAGGTTAGCCTATTGGGCATTGAGTAAGTAGGAGGCAAATTCCAGGGTTCATTCAGGATGTTCATTGCTGAAGACAGTAAAATCTAGGTTTGGATTTACGGCCCATGAATTCAGAATCCATTCTGAATTTTTTTTAAGTTTTAAATCATTATTGTACTTAAATGTTCCACTGTTGAATATGACCAATATATTGTCATCTTTGTTAATTCACTACAGTAAAACCTCTAGTCCCTGTGGTACTAAATTTCAGATGCTTCCAGTGAAGTATAACAGAGACAGCTCTTTCTTTTGAGGAAAAAAAAATGTTTCTAAAGTCTTTATCTCTTCAGAGCAGATAGTGCCTGGGTTTTACCTAGAGCAGTCCTCTTCAACCAGGGGCAGTTCTGCCCACAGATGACACTTGGCAATGTCTGGAGACATTTTTGGTTGTCACAACCTGGGGAATGGGCGGGGGGTGCTACTGCATCAAGTGGGTAGAGGCCAGGGATGTTGCTAATCCTACAGTGCACAGGACACGCTCCTACAACTTAAGACTTCTCCAGCCCAAAACGTCAGTAGTGCCAATGGTAAGAAACCCAAACTAAAATGACTTCCTTTCGCCAAGTGTTAACAAGTCTTCTGCAGGATGATGTTTTAGGACTCAAAAGTGGCAGATCCTTTCAGCTTTCTTTGGCCTTTTTCTGTTTAAAAACGAGTCACTTCCACTTACCAAAAAACCAAACCCACTGCCTTCAAGTCGATTCCGACTCATAGCGACCATATAGGACAGAGCAGAACTGCCTCACAGGGTTTCCAAGGAGCGGCTGGCGGATTTGAACTGCTGACCTTTTGGTTAGCAGCCGAGCTCGTAACCACTGCACCTCCAGGGCTCCCACTTCCACTTACCCATTTGAAAGATCTCGTTTTATGAAGGAAGGCATACTGGGGTTGAGGAAGGGCCAGCTCAGCCTTGTTTAAGATGCCAAGTATCTAAGCATTTTGAAAGGTAAATTTCAAAATTACACTGCATTATTACCAGTGACCACCAGAAGCTAGGAGAGAGGTGTGGAACAGGATTCCTCCTTAGAGCCTTCAGAGACAGCATGGCCCTTCCCGCACCTTGATTTCAGCCCCCAGCCCCCAGAGCTGTCAGAGAATACGTTTCTGTTGTTTTAGCCACCAGTTTGTGGTGATTTGTTGTGGCGGGCACAGTAAATTAACAGAGACCCCTCCCACCTGACTCATCAAATAACAGTGAATAGCGAGGTTATTCATATTTGAGTCTTTTTAAAAATCCTGCCTCCAGCAGGAAAAGGAATCTAACTAGCATTAACTGTCTTGCTGTCATTTATCTTTCTTTATAATTTATAGTTATTTTCTGTTTATGGCAAGTGAATCTGGTTTTCCATATATAGTAGTGACATCAAGTTTCCTTTTAAAATAAATGTATTTTGTGTCTGTAACATTAGAGAGCATCAGTGTAAATTATATATATACTGCATTTGTACCCTGCCAACAGACTGGAGCACATTTTAGGAAAAAATAAGTCTTCTTGTTTCAGCAGACCAGAGTGGTTCTCTGGAATTTTTGTAAACCCCCAGAAATCTGCTAAGTTGTCCTTGGGTCAGTTATTTATGTCACATCTTAGGAGTATCCAACTTAGTGATTGCAACTATGTCTCCAAAGCAAAAAGAAAAGAAAGGATAGGACACCAAAGATTCTGGCAAAAGTGATTTCAGTATTTTAAAAATTTTTAAATATGTATTCATTCTTATTTGCATACATAAGTCAACTTTATCTGGTGCTCAACTAAAGATTCAGCAACTGAGGGTAATTTCATACCAAAAATAAAAACCAAACCCATCTGACTCATAGCGACCCTATAAGACACAGTAGAACTGCTCCATAGGGTTTCCAAAGCTGTAAATCTTCACAGAAGCAGAGCCAATTTTCATCTTTCCCAAAGACTCCCCATCCTTTCATAAAACTGCTGCAGCCTTCTATTCATCACCCTAACCTGGATTTGCTTAAAGGACTGATCTTACTTTAAAATACCCACATATTTTAGTATATTTCTTAGCTGAGTAAATCTGAACTTGTATGGCATACTGATCGATTTTCTTCTACAGAGTTTCATGGGTTTCTAAGAAGCAGGCAAACACCGAGCACCATTCCATAGGAGAGGCCAGTGGACAGATTGGGAAGCCGAAGAAAGAGCTCGGTGCAGAAGGGCTTTGTGGGAACTTGCTGGCCTTTTTGGATCACTAGCGATAAGTAGGCTATTAAATGTCACTTTTTAAAATGCTAACACTTATAGAGGGTTTACTGCACCCTAGGTACTTTACTAAGTGCATTGCACACAGAAAGTCCTTTAAACCTCACAACAACCCTATGAAGTAGGTGGTACAATTACATCCTCTTTTGTGTGTGTGCTTTAGGTGGAAGTTTACAGAGCAAATCAGTTTCTCATTAAACAATTAATACACAAACTGTTTTGTGACATTGGTTGCCAACCCCGAGATGTGTCACACTCTCCCTTTCTCCACCCTGGGTTCCCTGTTGCCATTCATCCAGTTTTCCTGGCCCTTCCTGCCTTCCCGTCTTTGCTTTTGGGCTGGTGTGCCCTTCAGTTTTGTATACATGATGGAACGACGAAGCACGTTCCTCATGTGTGCTATTGTTTGCCCTGTAGACCTGTCTAGTCTAATCTTTGGCGGAAGGCTGAACCTCGGGGATGACTTCAGTACTGAGTTAAAAACGTGTCCGGGGGTCATAGTCTCCGGGTTTTTGCAGTCTCTGTCAGACCAGCAAGTCTGTTTTTTTTGTTTGTTTTGTGAATTCGAATTTTGTTCTACGTTTTTCTCCCCCTCTATTGTGATGCCTGCCAGAGCAGTCGGTGGTGGTAGCCAGGCACCACATCCTCACTTTTTAGATGAGGAAGCAGGCCCAGAGAGGCACACTGACATTTGCACCCTGATCACACAGGAAGTGAAAGAGCAGGGACTCAGACCCAGGCTTTATCTCCAGAGCACATGCTTGTCACCATAACCCAACCACAATGCCTCTCAATGCCACTGGTTAACCTGGGGGCAGGGGTGAGGACATCAAGGAGGGCGTCCAGAATGTGGTCCTGGCCTCCAAGGCCCTGTTTGTAAATTAGACTGCTTGGGTTTTGCAAACCTGAGTTAGAAAAAATCTTGGCCTTTGTAGGACTATAACTTGGACTTTTCATGACTATTTATATAAATATTTCCTTTATGGAGATTTAGAAGTCGAGGAAAGAAACTGACAAGCAGAGACAATGTAAGGGGAAGTGAGCAGATGCTGGGGTCAGGCCAGCAAGCCCTTGTGATTTTCTTCTTATCCTAAAATCTCACCCCATTCTCACCAATTTTCATCTTCACCTTCACTTTTCCATTTGATTACACCTCAAACTTCAACTTGTGACTTCTTTTGAGTCCACACTTGCTCCTGCCTAAGGGCCTTTGCCCTTGGTGTTCCCTCTGCCTGGAATGTTCTTTCCCTAGATCCCTCTGTGGTTTGTTCCTCCTCATCCTGTGCTCAGCTCACATGTTAATTCCTTGGGGAGGCCTTTGTTGACTACAGTTACCTTCTTGTGTCCTCAGAGCCTCCCACCATCTGCACCGATCTCTTTAATATCTGCCTCCCCAGCTGGATGGAGGCTCCACAAGGCCAGGGACGATGTGTTTCTTTCGTTTAGGACAATCTCACCAGCTACAGCACAGTACCTGGCACATAGTAGGCACTCAGTAAATATTCAGTGAAAAGAGTGCAGGGATCTTTTTTTTTTTTTAGGTAGAAAGCAATTTTATTGTTGAAATGATCAGGGGAATATCATGGAAATGACATGCTTAAAATATTCTAGACCATGTGGGAATTGATAACTCATCAGACACATGTCTCCATTTCTCAGTCTGTCTGGAACCACATGGTCTTTTATCTTGCTTCTTTCTGGTGGATCATCTTGCTTGGCTCAGAAAATGCATTAATTTGTCCATGGTGGAAAATGTTTATCCTCCTCCCCAAATCTACTTGCTTTTTTTTTTTTAAATTGTGCTTTAGGTGAAAGTGGGATCTTTAAGTGGAAATTCTTCTAGGATG